GCTGGCATCAGGGTGCCCAGCCAACCTGCTCAGAGCCAGCGTGGAGCCAGAGTCCTTAGCAGCAGTAGTAGCTGTTGTGCAAGGTGTGGGCCAGGATGGGGGTGGGTGTACCCACAACTACCCTCAACTTTCGGATTGTGGTGGGACAGAAATCACTGGCTTCTCTGGCTCTGCCTTGGTCCCTTGGTGTCTTTAAAGAAGGGACAATCAATCAGCATTACTGCCCTCTCCTACAGAGTGAGGTGCAGCTGGAGCAGGTCCTGAGGGCTGAGAGAAGCTGAGGGTGAGGCTGAAGGTGAACTTCCCCCTCTGTGTGTGGGTGTCACTCTGGAAAGACCGGGCTGAAACCCTGGGGATGGCAATGTGCTTTGACTGTTCCATGTGAATCAGTTGACTGTCTGGAATCTTACCCAGCTAGATCTTGTTCAAGAGCAAAATATTCCTTGGTTGAAAGCAATGAGGAACGGTGTAGCTCCCCTTCAGAGGGTGCCCAGGACCTCCTAGTACAAGGATTTGAGGAGAAGCCCAAGGCCCAAGCCCAAGGCTGTGCTCTAGGCTTGCTGCTTGGGCACAGGCAGCACACTGTGTGTGTCACTGCAGTTGGTGCTGGTCAGTTCTGCCAGGCTGGAAGCTGTTGTGTAAGCATTTTTCACTGCCTGGAATTCCCCTAAATGCAGGAATTGGAGCTGTCAGGCTGGGAGGACCCTGCCTGTGCAGATGGGCAGAGAGAGATGCTGAATGGGCTCTCTGGCCAGTTGTGTCAGGACATTGGCCACCCAGCTCTGAGAGATGATAGGTCCTGGGAGGGGACCAAACTGGTTCTCCCTTTCCTGGAACTGCTCATGAACACATGTGCTGGGCATGAGCCTCGAGGACGCGTGTGGCTGCTGGACCCCTGTGGGGCTGTAAGGCCAGGGACTGGAGAGCCATGGCTGCAGAGACAGCAACAGCTTGTGTCCTGCTCATGTAGTTCTTCTGGGGCAGATCTAAAAGAGGAGCCTGCACTCCAGAACTTTCTCTGTCCTGTACTAGAAGCAGTTGCTGCCTTCAGTCCTGTCTGGTCTGAGTGGTTGGTGTGGTACCAGGTGTGTTCTCAGAGGATGGTCCTCCAGGGATGAGGTGCTGTCATCCTTGTTTCTCCTGGTGTCCTTGTCCCACTGTGCAGACCCTGTCAATCTTACTGCAGTGTGGTGTGGCTCCCTCTGGAAGCTACTCCTGGTTCAGCTGTGGTAGGACTTGTTTCTGCAACGTGCTACACAGGCTTAAAGCACATCCCAGGTCTCTGTCCTTACTGGGGTCCAGCCCAGCCTGCAGGCTCGTCTTCTGGTGTCTCCTTTTCCTTTCTTTGCCTTTGCACATCCTTGGCAGCACTTCCACTTCTGTCCACATTTGGTTTCCTCTGTGATCTTCCTGAGCTGAAGCACAAATTAGAGAAAGACAAACCTTTGTTCTTTCCAGCTTCACCTGAGAATAGCCCAGGCCATCCTTGGATGGAGACAAGCTTGTTTGATGTGCTCATCCTGGTGCTCTACTAACCTTCCCTTTCTCTCTTTTTCTCTCTTCTTGTTTCCCTCATCCTGTCACTGCTGCAGAGTGCCTGTACAGCCAGCTTGAGAAAAACCGCCTGCTCTCTAATGAGCTGAAGTTAACGCTGCATGATCTGTGTGACTGAGAAGGGGCTCACTAATCCCATAAATGAGCTTATTGCAACCACCAGTGCTGTGGACCACAGTGAAATCTGATCATTAAGACTGGCAGACTTGCGAATTTTATGCAATTGCCGCTTTTTAATGGGGCACTTGAATTCATCCTATAATTTATTTAAGCATTTTTTTAACATATAAAGGTAAACTCTATTCTTGGTGAAGTAACCCCCAGACTTGGCTGGTTTTTGAGCGGTCTTGTTTGCTTGTCCAGGGGGGTCCTGCCTGGCTCCTCCATGGAACCAGAATGGCTGCACCCCTGAAATGAGGGGTGGGGTGAAGTTAGGCTTATGTCTGCTTGAAGCTGCTACAACTGAATTTGTGATTAGGTAAATGACTGTAGGATTTCTGATGCATGGAATGATGGCTTCTGCCAATAAATGACTGACCTTGTAGTCTGTGAGACACTGCACACCTGTAGTGTGTTCCTATCTAGGGGAGTCCTAACCGAGAAGGTGTAGGGTAGCAGTCATTTCCCGGGCCTGACCCCAATGCAGCTTCAGAGCCCTGGGAGGGTTGGGAAGGCTCATGGATATCTTGGCAGCAAGTCCCAAAATGTACAGCCCAAAGCTGTGTCCTGAGTGCCTGCAGAGTGTGTTTAAGCGCTGCCATTGCTCATGCTCGAGGAAGACTGTTCTCTCTCTGTGCACAATTTCTGACTCTGGGGAGGTTGGGAGTGGCTTTGGGAATCTGCCTGTACCTAAAGGACATTTTTCAACAGCCTGTCTATCCAGTGTCCCAGCGTGTGGATGTCTCCAGTGATATGGGTGGGCTCACCTTTGGAGTAAAGCCTACCTAGAGCACTAGCTGCTGATCTGCTCTCCTCCTGGCTTAAGGAACATGTGAGAATCGACTGCACAGCTGCCTGTAGTCTCGGGCAGGGTGCAGCTCCCTTGCTCCTTGCTCTCTGCCTGTTACTGCCCCAGCCCCTGCCCCGCTGCCCTCCAGGCTGGCGGTCTGCTCCCTGCTGCTGGGCTTGGCATCCCTGCCCTGTGCTGAGGGAAGGGGGTCATAGCCACCTTCTAGGGGTGATTTCCAAGTGTGTGTTGCTCTCAGGGTGCCTTGCTGGGCCATGTGGGTCAGCTATGGAGGTGTGGAAGCCCTGGGGAGAGCTGGCTGCAGTCGGAGGCACCTGCATGTGAGACACTGCCTAGGGCTCTGGCTGAAGGCACACCATGACTGTGCTGACTGGGAGCACCAGCAGTGTGAGAGGCAAGGGCTACACACAAGCCAGGTAACCTCAGAGCTTCCAGCTGCACCCAGCCAGTTACTCTGGCCCGAGGATCGCTGCGTGCGGGGAAGGGGCTGGCACAAGCTTTCTGTGGCAAAGGAGTTTTGGTTGTCTGACACTGCTTTGTAACTCTCAACTCTTGCTTTCTGCCAGATAAACTGAAATCCACCAAAGAGGAGCATCTCTGCACGCAAAGAATGCTGGACCAGACCCTGCTAGACCTGAACGAGATGTAATAGATCCCTGCCACCGCCTCCGCCACGCGATGCCAGGCGCCGGCCCAGCTGCTGCTGCCCTCTAACCCTGGGGACCAGAGTTTACGTTCTGTTGCCAACTTGACCAAACACAAATCTCCTTTGCCCCAGGGTTAAAGGCCACCAGGTTGGGCAGAGCTTCAAACAGCATCATTAAGGGAAATAAACAATGCAATAATGTTTGGGGAGCATGTTTGAGATGTACACATTTTGTAACTACCTTTTTTTGTAGCAACCATTGTAAACATTCCAAATATCGTGTGAGGCTGGTGAGCTACACTTCAAAGCTCTTGGCTTTAAAATTTGGTATTAACTTTCTGTTAATTGGCTCTAGGCCACCCTGCTTTGGCAGGGCAGGAAAAGGGTGTGATGGTGCTCGCTGTGAGTCAGAGTAGCCAGGCTAGGGATGGAAGCTTGTTGGGAAAACTTCCTTTCCAAGAGCTGTTTGCCAAAAGTGCAGTTCAGTTTCTCAGCTTTAAGGTAACTGTGTTGGGGAGGAGCAACTTGTGTGAAAGGTACTTTTTTTTTTCTTTTTTTTTTCTTTTTTTTTTTAAGCCAAGCCAGTCATCTGAACAATTGAACCTTCACAAGGATTGTGTCCCTTCCCCCCCCACCGTTGGCCACTTCCTTTCCTGGTGGGCTTAGAGCAGCCACGGCCCCTCTAACCCGTTGCTACCCTGGGGCTGACTTTGCCTTCACTAAGTGCTGGTGCACCAAGCTTCACCGCTCATTGCTGTGTTACACTTAACAGCTTAAGTACAACAGCCTTGTATTCTTGGAGAAGTGTTTTTGCCTACCTGGAGGGAGGGAGCTGAGCCTTCCCTCCTGGCCAGGACTGCTCTTACTGTCTTAATTGGGTACAAGCCATCTTGCTGTGCATTGCTGGTGTTTCGTGGTTGTGAGGCGTGAGCGCGGTATCGCCACGCTCGCAGTGTGTAGCTTGTGGTTTGAGCATGCTGCTTGGTTGTAGCAGTTTTAGGGGCCAATCTGGAGACGAAACCCCTATCCAGTGTTTTGATACTAAATTGAAAAATTGTGTTACTGTCTTTTGAAATAAAAACCGATCCCTCCACACCACTGCTGGCTGCAGAGCTTTACTGTGTGTGATCCACTCCATCTGGGCTTGTGGGGGATGAGGGTGGGGATGAAGGCCAGGGTGTGTGCCCATCTCCTGGAAATGAGACCAGACAGAGGGTCAGACAGAGGTGGACTTGCCAGTGTCTTCCTAGGGCTGGAGCACAAACATGGGACTGTGGGGGTGAGTCCCTCAGTCAGTTTGGAGATGACAGTGAATTGCGTGGGAGTGTTGATCTGCTGGAGGGCAAGAAGGTCCTGCAGAGGGATGTGTACGGGCTGGATCAATGAGCCAAGGCCAGTGGTGTGAGGTTCAACAAGGCCAAGGGCCAGGTGCTGTCCTTGGATCACCACAACCCCCTGCAGGGCTCCAGGGCTTGGGGAAAAGGGGCCGAGGGGCTGCTGTCCTACCTGTGCTGGGTGGGGGATGCAGGCTTGTGCAGGATCAAGGGGGTTGTTTTCTGAACTCTTATTACTGGCTGGTGTCCACACCAACACCTGAAGAAGAGGGACTGTCAGCTGAAGCCTGTGCACTCCAGGACCTGACGGGTGAGCTACTGGAGGCTCTCCCCAGCACTGGGAGGATGCTCTGAAGCAGATCATTGCAGGAATAAACACTAGAAAGGGGATTGTTTTAGTGACAATATAAACCCACTTTTATTTATGTGCTCTGCCACCTCTTAAGGTCATTTAAAGATACAGGTCTAAGTGGAGGGGGAAAAACTAACCCTTCCTCCCTCCCTCCCTTCCTTGTAGCTGTTGAGAAGGGTGCTGTTTGTTCCCCAAACCCTCTGGTGGCTGCTCTGCTGCAATGGCTGAAGAACGTGGAAGGCAGTAAAGTGCAAATTCATTGAGCAGGGAACTGTATGCAGAAACGAAAACTTTCCGAAAGAATGAAAGACTCTGTGAGAACCTACAGGTCATGACGGTGCCTGTACCCAGTCTCTGTAGGGTAAGAAGTCGCTGATTTGTTCTTTGTTATTTTCATTAGTGCTAATTTTTCACCAGTTTTGAAGCCAGTCTGAGCCTGTAGATGCTGAATTAGGGATTATTTATTCTCGTGTTGACAGGCTGTTTACTCCATTGTGATGTCCTTGTTGATATGATAGCATTGAAATTATGTTCCAAATTTGAGAACATTCTGGACAATTCTCCCCTGGAGTTTGCTGTGAGAGCTCTGGACATCAAAAGATGTACCTGTGAGGTAAGCTCTCCCACTGTTAATTCCACAATTTTAACTCTTCCTGCTGAGAAAGAAATGCTTCTTGTTGTCTTTATCTTTAATGGAAAAGGAGGCTTGAGTTTACTTATGTCAGCAACCAAGAGTCCATGACATTTAGTCTCTGTGTGAGTTCTCCTTCCTGTAGGTGATTATCAGATGCCTTTAATTTGTCAAATGAGCTTTTTGCAGAATTAGAACTTGCCCTTGAACGTTATGTCATCTTTGTGGATATCACCTTCCTCCACCAGCTCAGCAGTGAGGACCAGTTGGACCTGATCTGCTGTGTCTTCCTTCACCGACCTGATTTGTAGTAAAAGAGACTGTGAAGGCAAACAGGACATTTTGGAGCCTAACTGTGAGTTTCTCTGAATGCTTTAACTTCACAGAGTAGTTACTTGCGCACTCTGAGGGTGCCCATATTATCTTTCGTTAAATTGAAAATCATGAGAGAATTCCTGTAAAAGAACAAGGATCTCCATGTGTGAGCCCCAACTGCTCTTAATTGCACTGTAGAAGCTGGATTTTTAGGTAGTAAGTAAATTAAAAGCTCAATTATAAAACCCTCATGTTTCCTTTTTTTCCCAGGAATATACTTTCCCTTTGTAACTGCATCCATCCTGCTGGCAGTGGGAAGCTCAATCTTAAGGCTACATCTTTTCAAGTGCAGTGATTTGAAAACTGAAGTTGGTGTTTCTCCACTTGATGGGCTTCTCTCTAAATCAGACTAATTAACTCCACTGCAGACTAACAACAAGGAAATGGGCCCTGGAGCTTGGAAAGCATGTGTCAGAATTGCCTTCATGCCACTTCTCTGCTGCTTGTTTTTGTTATGGAGTGTTTGGATTCAGGGTACTTGGATACTTGGATAGAGGATGAAGAACGAGAACACTTCTGCTCCAGTCCTTGATTCCTGCCCAGAGGAGTTTCACAGTGACCCTGTGCCTGTCCTCTGTTCCCCACTAAAATCTGGTTTATGGCAGTGGGAAGATGTTTCTGTTACAGAAATCAGCATCACTGGCACTCTCATTGCTTTGGGACAAAGCCTAATGCAAACTTCAGGTTTCCAAGCCAATTTAGGAGTGCTCCTATTATTAATCCCCAGATTAATAACTTCCAATAATAGAGTTGCATTTCTTAATGAAAATCATGTTACCGAGTTGCTGTTGATGGTTCTTGGGAGCCAACCTTGTGTTTTATTTCAAGTTTCACCATCTGCCCAGGAGACAGGAGGACGCTGGAAGTGGAGCAAGAGTATGTGATGGCTGTGACACCGAAGTGCATTTATCTGATGTGAATGTGTGTTTACTTAGCAACGAGCAGCTGCCAAAGGGAGTGCCATGGGGAATTGTGCTACAGATTTTAGCACTAATAAGGAAATGAGAGTGAGAAGGGAATTAACCCTTGTGTTATCTCAGTCTCTCCTTCACACACAATTCTATTCCCATATAATCCCCAAAAATCTTCTGTGTGACAAACCACTACAGAAATGCAAAATCCTGTGAGTGTTTTTGGAAAGTGCATTGCGTTTTCCTTGGAAGGGAACACACTTTTCACTGATTTCTGTCAATTCACAGGACCTGAGAATAACTCACCATAATAAAACACAGCTGGTTTCTGTTCTGCAGGTAAGAGGCAAAGGTGGTAGTAATTTTCTTCACATTTTTTTTCTCTAGTCCAGTAGGTCATGTAGCAACACTCTTGTTCATACCTATGTGAAAGCAACTGCCCTGTGCTTGAGGTTATGCCATATTTCATACAAATCATAGACTCACAGACTGCTTTGGGTTGGGAGGGACCTTAAAGATCATCCCATTCCAATCCCCTGCCGTGGGCAGGGACACTTTCCACTAGGAAAGATTGCTTCAAGCCCTGTCCAACCCAGCCTTGGACACTTCCAGGGATGGGGCAGCCACAGCTTCTCTGGGCAACCTGTGCCAGGGCCTCACCATCCTCACAGGGAAGAATTCCTTCACCATATCCCATCTAACTCTACCCTCTGGCAGTGGGAAGCCATTCCCCCTAGTTCTGTCACTCCAGCCCCTTGTCCAAAGTTCCTCTCGATTTCTCCTGGAGCCCCTTTTAGCACTGGAAGGGGCTCCAAGGTTTCTCTGGACCTTCTCTTCTCCAGGTGAAGACCCCCAGCTCTCCCAGCCTGTCTCCAGAGCACAGGGGCTCCAGCCCTCGGAGCAGCTCCACGGGCTTTTCTGGACTCGCTCCAGCAGCTCCACATCCTTCCTGTGCTGGGACCCCAAGGATGGAGGCAGCACCGCAGGGGGGTCTCAGCAGAGCAGAGGGGCAGAATCCCCCCTCACATGCTGCCCACACTGTGGGGATGAGCCCGGTCCAGTGTTGGCTTTCTGGGCTCCCAGTGCACCTTCCCCATCAGTTTTCCCTAGACAATTCCTTCTGCAGTCCCTGCAGCTGTGAGGAGTCCAAGAGCTCTCAGAAATGCAAGAAACCAGACACTTGGATAAAAGTCCATGCTGCACTGGGGGATGCAAGAGGGGGTCTCAGCTGCACTGGAGGATGGAAGCAGGGGTCTCCACTGTCCTGGCAGATGAAGGGTCCATGCTGCACTGAGGGTTGTAGGGGATGGGGCCCTAATATCCCAGGAGATGGAGACAGGAGTCTGCACTGCCCTGGAGGACAGGAGCTCCTAGGAGCCTCTGCTGCACAGGGGAATGGAGGCAAGGGGTCTCTGCTGGACTTGGAGTGGTGAAGGTGGGGGTCTATGCAGTCTTGGAGAATTGAGGAGAGGGTCTCTGCTGCCCTGGACAGTGGAGATGAGGGGTCTCCACTGAACTGAGGATGAAGGTGGCTCTTGGCTGCATGGGATGATGCAGGTGGAGGTCTCCGCTGTCCTGGGAGCCAGGGCTGGGGGGCCTCCAGTGTCTCAGAAAAGTGAGGTGAGGATCTTGGCTGTTTTGGGTGACCCAGAAGGGGATCTCCACTGTCCTGGCAGATCAAGGCAGAGGTCACCACTGCATCTCTATTGGACTTGGCGGTGAAGGTGGGGGGTCTCTGGAGCACAGGGTATTGAAGGTGACTTCTCTGCTGCCCTGGGGGATGGAGATGGGCATCTCTGCTGTTGCGAAGATGAAGATGGGGCTCTGCACACTATGGGAGAATTGCTGTGGGGGTCTACACTGTCCTGAGGGATGGAGGTGTGGGTCTCCCTTGCCCTGGCAGATCAACAAGGGGTGCTCTGCACTCTTTCACCACTGAGACGGGGGGCACCTGCCCTGCCACTCCTGCTCCAGCACTTCTTGTCTCCTCTTGGCCCTTAGAGCAACCTGCTTGAAAAGGGCACAACGGGGGCTTCAAGGGTCCCTTCCCTCTGCAGCAGCTATGGAAGCACATGGCCGTGGCTTTGGCTCTCTGCCAGCACTACTCCAGGACATCCCTTGGCTCCAGGGGCTGGTCCTGCAGACCCCTCACATCCAGGGGTGCTGCCCCTTTACAGGGATGGGGGTAATTGCTGCAAGAATCTGTGCTATCCTGAGGGAGAGAGGGAGGGGGTCTCTGCTGTCCTGGGTGCTCCATGCCGGGATTTCTGCTTTCCAGGGGGTTGAAGGTGGCCAGGGGTCTCTGCTTTACTGAGGGATGAATGTGGGGGTCTCTGCTGCACTGGAGGCAGGGAGGAGTCGTGTTCACTGTCCTGGCAGACAAAGGCAGGGTCATGGAGAAGGGGATCTTTGCTACCCTGTGTGGAAAATGTAGGGAGACCTTCTAGCCCAGCTGATAGCTCAGGGCTTTCTGAGGTGACAAACAGCATTGCTGAATTCTGGGTACCTTCCCAATAGCTCAACTGGCCAACACTTCCTGGCATGGCTTCCAAATTCCAGACCCCCTCCTGCGTCTCTCTGGAGCCACACTCCAGTGCCCTCAGCCCAGGCACAGAGCAGGGGAGATGTGGGCACCCCTTCCTACACATCTGGTCAGACAGAACACTCAGCACAGACCTGGTCAGCCCCACAGTAAAAATGCTGCAGTATTTCATCCCAACCTGACTTTCCCAGCTTTCACCGGGGAAGGTTTGAAGGGCCTTTCACCCCTTTTTCAGCAGGTACACTGCTCTCCCCACAGACTGGCTCCACTGCACTGCATCAATACCTCTGCTTCACGCTGATTTTGGACATCAGAACCTGCTTTTTCACTTTCACATCCCTCCACTGCCCTGAAATCCACCCAGAGTGGCATGAGGAACCCTGCTGCCCAAAGACAATGCTCTGTTCTCACCAGTCACCCCACTGTGAGTCAGGCTGTAGTTGGGAGGCAGGCCATCACTGAAGCTCCCAGTACCCCCATGTTCCCCTTCACTTCCCCTGTGCCAACCTGCTCATAAGTGCCCAAGTTCCTGGGTGAGGCAGCTTGGCTTTGCCTTCTCTGTATTCACTGCCATCTACCACGGTAGGGTCCCCCCAATGTCCCTGTGCCCCCCAGTGGGGTCCTGAGAGCTGGCAGGCTCTGAGCCACCCCTGCTGGTACCAGGGCCCGTGGCCAACCTCTGGCACAACCTGATGGAGGCAAAACGCTCGATGGACTGCGTGGTGGATCTTCAGGTCAACCACACGACCGGTCTCTGGGAGGTGTCAACGGCCCCCCTGCGCCGCGTGATGGAGGAGCTGGTGGTGAGGGGGGTCTGGGGAGGGGGCAGCAGGGGGCTGGGGGAGCGGGGCCGAGCCTCTGCGTGCGCGTGTCTGCGCGTGTGTCCCGGCAGCGGAGCGGGGAGACGCTGAACACGGAGATGCAGAACCTCTCACGCGCCTTCGTGGAGCTGAACGACCAGGTGGCCAGCGATGAGGGCTACAACCTGCGGCAGGACAAGGGCAAGGGCACCCAGCCGGCCCGCAGCACCCAGGAGCTGTACGAGAGGAAGACCAAACACCGCTGTGCCAGTGAGCAGGACGGGCAGGGGCTGGCAGCACACAGGGCAGGCGGCTGCCAGCCGGGGGAGGCTGTCCTAGAACCCCATGCCAGCACCATGGACGGGGTCTTGGCCAGCGGGTCTAGGTCTGCACAGGCAGCTGAAGACTCCTGCCTCCCAGGTGTGATCAAGAACAGCCTGGAGCGCTGTGAGGGCCAGTTCTGTGGTTGTGCTCTGCATCGGCCACCTCAAGTGACACACCCCTCCCCAGCACCTCATGCCACTGTCCCTACTCACCAGCCCAGGTGGCTGCCGTGCTCACTGTGCCATGTGTGTTTGCTACAGGCGGACAAAATGCTTCCACTGCCACAGCCTGTTGTACAGGTGCAGCACACAGCTGCTCTCTTACTGCACTGGCAAACACTGCTGAGGAGTGGCTGGTTGGGGGCACCAGCCCACCCCAAAACCCACCCCCTTCCAGCTGTGCCAGGCTCATCTTGGGTTAGTACAAGGCTGTGATGGCACAGCGCAGGCAGACTTGGGCCAGGCAGAGCAGGGCCAGTGGGCCAGGGGCAGGCAGATGCTCCAGTACTGCTGCCTTGTGATGCTGTGGGGATATGGCAGGCTGGAGACATGGCACCAGTGTGAGTCCCCCTGCAGCACACAGCATGGCCAGGCCCTGGGGCTGTGGAATTCCCATTCCCAGTGGGGTTGGGTGCTGAAAGTGCCGTTCAGGGCCCAGTGGTGCTCTGCAGCAGCTGCACCATCAGGGACTTGGCCACCATGTTTGCAGACATGGTGGCTATGGGATGGGAGGATGGGGAGGCTGGGAGAGGGTGGGGGAGGCCCTGCATTGCCACGGTGCACAGTGGGGCCCATGGAGTTGCTCCCCAGGGCCATGGCCTCACTTTGGTAGGAACACTGCATGAAGGAATGGTTCTGGGTGACATTGAGAACCTGAAGGGGTCCAGGCCAGAGGTAAAGAGGAAGAGCAGGAACAGGCTTCACCTGAACAGCTCCAGCACTTGCAGAGAGCAGGGTGTGTCACAACCTGCTGCCCCCCAGCCCCAAACTCCCCGGTTGCCCCCAGCCCCTCACCATGTGCTTCAGCTCAGGCCACTGCAGGGCCAGGTGGCACAGGATGATGAAAAGCCGAGGTCTCGTCCCGGAGTTGGGACAGCAGCATCTGCTCGGTCTGGGTGAGGGGCAGCAAGGCACATGCCAACCCCTTCCACCATGCCAGAACGGTGCTGTGCAGGAAAGCCACATGCTCCTGGCATGGATGTGAGGGGATGAGGGCAGGTGGCAGCTGAGAGGGTGTAGAGGGAAACACATGTGGAGGATTAGCTTCTCACCTTGTCTCGGGACAGGCAGACATCAGGTCACAGGTGATCTCGAAGATGTAACCCATCCCATTTATGTCTGCAGGATGAGTATAGCCCTGCTCCTGTCCACCTCTGATAGTGGCAGATTAAGTCCAGCAGCCAGAAGAGGCTATGGTCAGCCAGAACATGGGCTGCACCCCATACTGGAACCAATCCTGCTCTGACAGCCACAGCGTGGCTGTCATGAGAAGACAACAGAGAGGAAAGTGAAGGACAGCAGTAGGCAGAACAAGGAGATGGCGAAACCCAGGCAGGTGCCTTTCTCCAGCAGATGTGAGGTTACCCCCTCGCTCAGCTGCTCCCTTTTGTGGGCATCCAGTAGTGTATGGTGGTGCTCCTGCTGTGAGGAGGAGCCGTGGAGCAGGGCAGGACCTGACCCCCATCCCGGGGACAGGCATCCACAGGGTGCCCAGGCAGCCACCTGCTACATGATGCTGGTGCTGAATTCCTGGCTGAGGCTGTGGACAAAGTTGTTCACCTGTTTGTGCACCTGCCAGCCCATGCCCACCCCATTCACCAGCACAGCAGTGTTTGCTCTTCATCTCGGAGTGGGGGCCCAGTGGAGGCCTGCGTCCAGGGGCTGCTGCAGGTCACAGCCCTCCTCACTGGCCACCTGTCCTGTCCCCCTGCGGGTAAAGGCAGAGGTTGTTTTGAATCTCTGTGCGGTAGCAAGGGAAGTAATTGTGATCATGCAGAGGTCTTTGCAAGTAGAATAGTATTCATTGGCAACAACTGAGCTGACTTGAATTTTTGACTGAGCGAAACTTGCAATCAACGCTGTCAAATCAAGGTGTATCTGAGAGAAAGAAAGTAAAAAGCAGAAGAGGGAAGGGAGGCAAGGAGAGAGGGAGAGAGGGAGTGAGGGAGGCAAAGAGAAAGCAAAAGAAAAAGAAAGAAGGAAAAAGGAAAGGAGGAAAAGAGAAAAGCAGAATAGAAAAAAGAGAAAAAGAAAAAAGAGAAAAAGAAAAAAGAGAAAAAGAAAAAAGAGAAAGAAAATAAATAAGAAAGGAAGCAAGAAAGCAAAAAAGCAAGAAAACAAGAAAAAAAAACAACAAAAGAAAAAAAAAACAATAAAACAAGCAAGGGAAAAAAGAGAAAAAAAAAAAAAAAACAAACCAAAAAAACCCCAGGCTCTCACCACCCCTGGTTCCAGGGCCGTACCCTACCCGCTGCTGCCACGCTCTGGTGCTGTGCACGCCTTTACCCCGAGCCGAGCCTTAAGGCCTTTGGGTCCCGCCCCAGGGGCTGGTCTCAGCCCCGGTCAGCCCCTGCACGTTTCTCCTTGACTGAGCCTTCTGGAAATGTCTCTGGGGGGTCCTTTTTGCGGCCCCACCAGTGTCCCGGAGCAGCAACCGGGTCCCAGCACGGTCCCCTGATTTGTGTGCCTCTGGATATGCTAGGTGGCAGGTTCTCCCGTGGAACATACAATTGTGAGATGCTGTGACCTACAATAGCAGCAGTGGAATGCTCCTCTGGCAACCGTAGAACAAAAAAAAAATGGTGGAATGCTTCCCTGGAACCGACAGAAGCTGGAACTGGGGCTGGGCATGGCCTTCTCCATCATGACATGATGACCATGCTGCTGGTGCTGCCCAAGTGAGCAGCTGTGGGCCCAGGAGCCAGGAGGGTGCTGGGGGGGGTGCCAGTTCCCAGCTGAGCCCCAGGATTGCCCTGTCCCCACAGGGGAGGGGACGATGCTGCTGCTGGAGCTGGGCATGGCCCCAACATCCTGCACAACATGCCCCAGGCTGCAGAGTCGCTGTCGTGGCTCATCCTCTGGATATGAACGAGGGTCATGCACACTGTGGAATTCATAGCAACCCTGTTCTACATAGGAGTAGCCACCCCTTCTGATGGCCTTTGAGCTGTTCCATCTGCTCTATGGTCAACGAAGCTCAGCAGGTCAGGCATCTCTGTTTTTCCCTTGTTCACCGCCTGGCCCCAAACGGGGCTGCAGCAGCGACGGGGCTGTGTGACGTGAGGGGAGTGTTTGGGGCTCTTGGCACCTGATTCCGGAGGAATTGAACCCTGATTCTCTTCCTTGCTCTCCTCTCTCGTCACTTTACAGAGCCACCATGGATATGAACCTTCCTGATGGGCTGCCTATGTTGTAAATAACAACGGTCAATGGGATGGTACCTAACGGTCAGTGGACCAGTGGAACACTGGAATGTTGAGAGCTCTGCAATCACCTATGGAACAAGTCAAACCAGCCCAATCCAGTTTGTTCAGGAACCTACTGTGCAGCTTAGATGAAAACAACACTGTATATGGAAGATCGGGATGAAAACTCCGAAGTTCAGTGGCTCAATGACCCCCACAGGGGTCCCTAAAGACCCCCCAAGAAGACCCTCTGAGACTGACTGCAAAGACTGAAGAGACTTAACAAATTAGATCCATGTATCACCTCGAGCCAATCGTGCATGGCAGGCAGAGTCATCCTCCCCTGCAACCAGCGCTGCACCGATGTGGGGAAGAGCTCAATGTAGCGACCTGGTCCCAAGGCTGAGCTGGGGAAAGTCAGGGAATGACAGGAGAAACCCCGGAGGTGCCCCTGTGCTACAGGACGCTGATGCTGGGGCGAGGTCTCTGGACCAAAACTTCACCTGGTCCTCTAAGTAAAGATGTTGTTTCAGGCTGTTTGTGTGATGGGAGGGTGGGGGGGAGGTGGAGAAAAGCTCCCCTGGGCTGGGCACTACTGGGGACCCTGAGAGGGTGGGGTGGGCCCCCCCCAGCCACTGCCACCAGCTTCTCTCTCTCCCCACAACTTGAAGACCACATCCGAAGGTTGGGGTTTTTCAGGGGCTGTGGTAGGTGACCCCAAGGGGTTCTGTGTGGAGCATTTCCTCATGAGGGGCAGGCACTGATCTCTGCTCTGTGTGACCAGGGACAGGAGCTGAGGGAACAGCATGGAGCTGTGTCAGGGGAGGTTTAAGGTGGATATAAGGAAAAGGTTCTTCCCCAGAGAGTGATCAGGCACTGGGATAGGCTCCCCGGGGAAGTGGTTACAGCACCAAGCCTGACAGAGCTCAAGGAGTTTGGACAACGCTCTCAGGCACTTGGTGGGATTGTTGGGTTGTCCTGTGTAGGGCCAGGAGTTGGACTCCAGGATCCTTGTAGGTCCCTTCCAACCTAGAAGGTTCTAAGATTCTACTCTCCAATTTTCTGGCTCAAATCCCACAGTGCAGCTCTTCCACAGAGGGAGCTGGGGTGGAAACGCTTGGCTGCTTCTTGCTGTGATACTCCTACGGAGAACTGACAGGGATTAACTGCAATACCACTGGAGCTCTCCAGGTGACTGCAGGACAAACCACACACACCATGTGCAGCAGGAAGCCACTGTGCTGGGCTGCAGCTGCTGCAGTGCAATTTCCATTGTCAGCTGAAAGGTACTTACAAAGTGAGGGGAGAACCTCCTGTCGAAGTCACGCTGAGCCAGGATTCCTCCTTGCCCGGGAGCACTAGTGAAACCAACCTGGAAGAGGCAGGGAAAAGACAAGCTTTACCACTTTCCTTCTTGGGACAGAGCTGGGCAGGGTGAGAGCTCAGGGACATCACCCCGACCAGGCTGCTGCAAGAGCACTGTCAGGGGTATCTGCAGGGCTCCTCTAAATCGTCCACTTACCACGACCTGTCCTCCCTCCTGTGCCAGGTACGTGATGGTGGCAGAGGTGAAGTTGAAGTAACCAGCTTTGAGAGGCCGCAGAACCACGGTGTGGGACACGTTACTCGCTCTGGGAGCCGGGCGTTAAGGAAAATGGTTGGATTTCATTACAGGAAGAAAACATAGGTGGAAAAGTCAGTGCTGCTGACAGATCCGAATGCTTATGGTCACAGACAGCCCGGCCTCCTCAAGGCTGACCCAGCTGCTCCTCCACATAATCAAACCCAATGTGCAAAATTATGGTATCTCATTAATGTTGTAAGAGTCTAATATGACATCATCATCATCAGTACTTCTCTTAGTGGTACTACACTCAGCATGCCTGAGTCTGCCTTTAAAAAATAAAAAATAAAAATTTAAAAAAACCACAAAAACAAACCAAAAAAACCAAAAAAACCAAAACAAAATAACAACAACAAAAAACCCCCAAAAAACAACAACAAAAAAAACCCCAAAAAAAAAAAAAAAACACAACAACAAAAAACCCCAAACCAACAAACCCAAACCCCTTTAACACTCTCCCATACTTTCCTCTTTCCCTGCTGCCCCGGGCAAAGCTCCTCCAAGCTGCTGACTATGGAAAGCAACCCAGAGGTTCGATCCCTGTTGACCATTGAGGCCACATAACCACAGGTTGGGCCTTTCCCTCCCAGCCCACCCCTCTGCAGGGTTTTCTCAGCCAGGGCAGGCTGGTCCCAGTCCCCAAACACTGACACAGCACCTGTCCTGGGCCTGAGACCCTCAGAGGTTTTTACAAAGAAGAGACTTGAATTTCTCTGCAAAGCGCCTTCCTCGTGCAGCACCTGGCTGTCAGAGGTTAATGCATCTGACCTACTCCTTCCCTCTGATTTCCTTCTTGGCTGCCAGTTGCTGGATCCCTGAGAGCTGGAAGGGAGCAGGTAACTGAGAGGGGAAGACAAAGCCTTGTTGTGAAGCAGAGCAATTTGAGGGAGAAAAATGAGACAAGCTGGGAGCTTTTCTGGGCACAGATGGTGTGAAAGGGCAAATGGGGCTGGTTTTGTGCCCTCGGACCCTTGTAATTAACACTGAACAACCAGATGGTCCAGAAATTGGAGGAGATCTCGGGACTGGCAGGAATGGGACAGTGCTGAGGAGCCTCTGCACCTGGACTTGTGCCTTGTAGCACTTGTGGTGCTCAGGGGAGTTTTGCCCATCAGCTGCAGGATCAGTGCCCTGGGCTGTGTCCTTGATGAGGTACATTCAGAAGAGTCATGGAATCATGGACTCTCTTGAGTTGGAAGGGACCCACAAGGATCATTTAGTCCAACTTCTGGCCCTGCACAGCCCCAACAATCCCACCATGTGCCTGAGAGCATTGTCCAAACACGCCTTGAGCTCTGGCAGCCTTGGGAAGCCTGTTCCAGTGTCTGACCACCCTCTGAGGGAAGAACCTTTTCCTAACATCCAATCTAAACCTCCCCTGACAGAGCTCCAGCCATTCCCTCAGGTCCTCGAGTCCAGTTCTCTGGCTCAGGTGGGCTGCTCCCTTGATACAGCATTGTGGGATGGGAGGAGGGACAGGCCAGACACCTGGCAGAGCTGGGGCTGGAGGGGCTTTCCCTGGATTTGGTGGATTTTTAACTCCTTTGAGTTATGCCTGAGAATCAGAGAACTGAGACCATCAAACGTGCAACTCCCAGGGGTCCCTTCACGTCCACGGAGCAGGGGGCTCAGCACCCGTCCTGGAGGGATCGGCCATCCCAAGCCCTGGGCAGTGGCAAGCCTGGTTCCATGTCATCCGTCCCAGCTTCTCCCTGCAACCCTCCCTGGGGAGGGCTCCCTTCCTCCTGCCTGGCCAACTGGTTCGTGAACTGGGTGCTGAACCTCCACCAGGAGGAAGAGGAGGGACAAGAGGAGCAGGACTGACCATGCAGGGACACAGCAGTGGGATGCAGGGATGGAAGAGGGACAATCTGGGGGAAACATGATTTTTTTTCCCCTCTTGGAAACATCATTTTGAGGCTGGATGACTGCATCCTGTGGGTGAAGTCCCAAGTCATTCCCTGGGCAATTTAACCCAAACCCCCCCCCAAACCAGACACAGAGCTGTTTGGTGAAGGGCTTTATTGGACAAAGTCGGCTCCAGGAGGAAGGGAGGAAAATCTCACCCCATTCCCATAGAACAGGGCTTGTTGGGTCTTGCTCCAGGCCTTGTTTGCCCTCCTGCAGGAGACTCCTGGTGCGGAGGGTTTCAGCACAGCAAAACCTCGCCATGTCTGGGCAGGGAACAAGGGCCCAGCGGGATCTGCCAGCACCCCTGTGCCATCAGGGCTCTCTGGGCAGGGCAGCAAAGAGGGCTCAAGCCCTCAGGGTCTAGGCCCCCCATCTCCCAGGCCTCCCTCACCCCCAGTGCCGGAGCTTGGCTCCGCTCTCCTTGGAGAGGCCCTCGGGCTTTGGTGCTGCCACAGAGAGGAGGTTCTCGGGCTCCAGGACAAACATGCCATAGAGGTTCCAGAGCAGCATGGCCAGGAGCGGCAGGAAGGTCATGCTGAAGCCAAAGGCACGGAAGGAGCGGCTGATGGCATAGGACAGCCAGAAAATCAACCTGGAGAGGACAGAGGGTGCGGGCTCAGTGGGGGCGATGCCATGGGGCCAGCACCAGCTTCGCCTGGGGGTTCTGACCAGGGAGGGTTTTCCATGCATGGCCACTGCAGGAAGCAGGGTGCAGATGAAGAACCCTCCCTGGTTGTGGCTGGCCAAGTGAGGCACTGCCAGAGCAGGAGTCGCACCAAGGGATGGCGTTTGCTGGCGCTGACAGAGCCTGGCGGCGCCCCAGGGTGAAGGAGCCACTTACCGGGAGATGGCAAAGAGCCCCGTGAGCAGCGGGATGAGCTTGAGGAGCTCCTGAGGGAGGTAGGTGGCTAGCACGGCCATGTTGAAGAAGTAGAGGATGAAGAGCTGGATGGACTGGGAGACGTAGGTGCGGTGGATCTCCACCTCCCGCTGCAGCTCCCCAAAGGGCTCCAGGGCAGAGGAGCAGAGGCGGGAGATGCCGCTGACAATCATCCCTGGGGGGCAGAGAGAGGGGCTGAGCGGGCGCCCAGAGGAGCTTCAGTGGGGCTAAGGAGCACTAGAGAGGGGAGGAAAACTCCACCTGCTGCACCTAGTGGGAGCCAGTGGAGCCGCAAAGAGCTTGGCCCCAGCTCTGATCCCCACAGTCCTGGGGCTCACATGGCCCAGAGCAGAGGCGAGAGGCTTGTACCCCAACCCCCTGGCTCACCCAGCACCACGGGGAAGGTGGCGAAGGTGGCGCAGCACAGCGTGTAGACCAGGCGGGCACTGACAGTGGGCAGCAGCGGAGCGTCGAAGGGCAGGAAGACATAGGCGCCGTAGATGAGGCAGGGGCAGAGGAGCAGGGCCCCCACCACTGAGGCCACGGCCTTGAGGTTATTGGAGCCACAGTCCCTGGCACACGGGCACTGTGGTGCCTCAGCCGGGGGCTTGGCCACGCGCCCCTCAAAGCCCAGGGGGTCCTGGTAGCGCGAGGGGCCAAGGGGGAGGAAGACCTGCTTGTGGTGGAGGCTGCTGGGTCTGTTGCTGGGGGGAATGTGGCCCCCCCTGCCTTCCTCCTGGGGCCATGGAGCGGGGTGCTGCTTCTGCTTGCAGGGACTCTGCTCGATGCACTGCGGGTCGATGGGCACAAAGACGTGGGCTGCCATCACGGGCAGCCCAGGGCCTTCCTCATCCTCTTCAGCCTCGGCTGGTGGGCAGGTGGGAGCAGCTTCCTCGGGGTCTTCACGGCCCCCCTCGGGACTCGAGCGCCTCTTTGCCTCTGCAGGCTCTGGCTGGCCCTGGGCGCTGTGCTGGCACCGGTCCCATGGCAGGGTGGCATCGGGGTCCTCTAGGTGTTCATCCGGGGCTGGTGGCACCTTGTCCAGGGCCACTTCCCCCAGCTCCAGCAAAGCCACCTCCTCGGGGGGCAGGACAGGGTCTGCGGCAGCCATGAGAGTGGCCAGGTCCGCACTGCTGCAGACTGCTGACACTCTGCTCCACTTGTGTTGAGAGGGGACGAGGTTTCTGTCTCTTCCACTTTCACCCTGCACCAGGAGTAAGGAGACAGACAAAAAACCATTGGAAATGAGAGGTTTGGGGCCACAGGGGCAAACTGGCACCCCTGGAGCCCCCAGCACCCACCTGTCTGTGCACTACAAGGAGAGAGCAGCACCTGGTATGCCCACACTCTGGGCCGTGGCAGAGGGATCAGGGACTGTCTGGGTGGGCCAGACGAGCTCTGGGGGTCTGGGTCTGGCTGGGAATGGCTTCCCCTGCCGGACAAACACCCCGGAGGTTCTGGCTGGGCACAGTCTGGTTACCCTGGAGCAGCTGGGTGATACAACCAGCTCTTCCACTGCTCTGTCTTGTGCCAGCGCCACCCAAGCCCCGGGGGAGAGGTGGCCTGGCTGTGCCTGGGAACCCAGCTAGAGCCGGGATGGGCCAGGTTTGCTGCCTCTTATAGCCGAGACTGATGTGAGGTGGGTGCAGGGGGCTGCCAGGTGCCCTTCACGGGGTGCAGGAGGCACGGGCAGAGCTCCTGCATTGTTTCCCTTTAGGGGATCCCTGTCTCTTTGCTCGTCTCGGGTGTTACCTCCACAATGAAAATCTCTCCCTCTGCCCTCTGTACACATTCGTCCCTGCATCCCCAGAAGGAGCCACAGGTGTGGGGAAACTGAGGCACGGAGCGGCACGAAGCTCCCTCCGAGATCCACACACGGAAGTGCCGCTATAGAGCAGCTTCCTGGGCCTCCCGCACGTCCAGCGCCCGCATCCCAACTTCCAGCCCCATTCCTAGCCCCAGTCCCAGCCCGAGCCCCGCTCGCGCACCGCCCCACGGCACCACCTCCCCTCGCTGCGGGACTCACTCGAGCAGAGGCGGGGGGCCATGGGGAGCTACGGGGCAGCTCTGCCGGGAGCCGACGGGAATTCCTGCGCTCTCTCGGCCGCCTCTGAACCTTAAACCTGTCGGACCAGCTCAGGTGGGGCGGGCGGAGGGTCCTCCCGGCCGGGCGAGGCTCTGCGCCCGCCCCTTCCCGGGTGTCCCCCCGGGGCTCCTGAAGTTCAATGAAATAACCGAACTGAAATAAAATATCTGCTTTGAGGTGGGTAATGTGCGTATGGTTTTGATACTCTTATCAGCCTGCATTTTTGGTGGTTTCGTCCCTGTGTTTTATGGATGTGGCTTGCTGGTGGGCTGGTCATTTATACCATGAGACAGCTTATAAACTAGCTTTTCATTTTATTGCCTTAAATGAGCTCAGTTTCAAACTCTACAGGTGATCACTAGAAAAATATGTTGTTTCTTTTCTGAGTTTTTAGCCACTTTCAAGATGTATACTCCAAAGTAAACATGTATAAGAAGCACAGCTGCACTTTGTAGGCATAATACAATAAAATAAAATCTTTAAGTGTCTTTGAACCAGTGTCCCTGTTTGTTTTACTCTAGTCCATCATGGGACCAATATTCCTTTACAAGAAATAGGATAATTTTAGAAGCCGAGTTTAAATGAGAAGCTCTCTGTTTAGAAAGGAGACATTGTCAGTCCTTGTTTAGGCATTCTTTATTCTGCGAGGGTGGGAGCTGGAAGTTGCTGCAAATCAAGCGCACTAAGGGGTAACACTAAATTTCTTCTTCTGGAAAGTAAAATTTACATGACCCCGCCTGTCTAATATATATTGCCCGCCCACCCAATGCATATTTATTTGTGTCACAAAATTTGTGGGTTTTTTCAATAAAAAATTATTTTTTATTTGTGTTTGCAATCTCACACAGCGCTTGAAACACGGAGTTCTCTTTTATTGAGCAGCTTCTCTTGTAGAAGTTACTTTTACAAAAGGCGAGAAGATTCATCCTGGAGACACTTAATTCAGTTTGAAGACACCCATGGGGGAGCCACTGGCAGGGGTTCCTGCTCCATTCCCCCTTTCTGATGCCTTAAAATCTATATTATAGAAGATTTTCGTATAGCTCATCAGTACATTTAGCTTGCTAAGTAGCTTTGTGCAGGATTTTTGGAAGAGCTGTTTGGCATTCTTTATTAAGAATTTCAACAAACAAGGGGCTTTAATGAGGCGAAGAGGTTTTCTATCTGTAAAATGTACTGAGAAACAGACACAACACCTGATACAAGCAATCCGAAGCTGCTCAGAAGCCTTGAAACCGTTCCAGAAAGTGTGATGCTATGCCAAAGACCAAGGAACAAGATGAGGAAGACAAGGATAAGGGGACCACCGACTCCAATTCGGGAGGCGTGTCTGAGGCGGGACGGGGGCGGTCCGATGAGAGGGGTGGGTTTGGGGATGGGTGTAACCGACGAGGTAACGGCCAAATATTGTAATTAAAACTGAATATTGTAATTAGATGGTAGTGTAGAGTTGTAACGCCAATGTATTCGGTATGCAACCTTTGTGAAATATTCCCGTGATGCCTTAAATACATATTATATAGATTTTGGTATAGCCCTTAGCAGTTTTAGTACCACTTTAGCTAAGTATCTTTGTGTTGAATTTCTGAAAATATTGTTTAACCTTCTTGTCAAGGATTCCAACAGATAAAGGCTTTTAGAGCATCTTGCCTGTAGAAGATGTGCTTAGAAAGAAAAGCCATAACAGCTTGATATAACGGAGTCAAAGCTATTCAGAGACCTCAGAAGCCTTGAAGTTGTTCCAAGAAGGGCAGAGATGATGACAAAGAGTGAGATCAGGATGAAGGAGTGGTCCTTTGCGACCTCTGACTCACATTCAAGAGGTGTGTAGAGGGTGGTACTGAGGGAGGGACAGTTTTAGAAGTGGATCTAACAGATGAGGTAGTCCAAATATTGTAATTAGACAACAGTATAACGTTGCATAAAGTTGTAACACATACGTAGTTCGGTGTGTGTACTTTGGAAATGATTCCTATGCACCCAGTGTAAATCAACGAGTGCTTTTTGCTTTCTAAAACTCAAAAAGAATCTTAGGTTTTTTTTGGCTTTTAGGCATCACCTCTGCATCCGGGCGTGCCGTAATAAACGACTGCTTTTTGCTTTCTAAAACTCAAAAATTCAGTCTAAAGAGAATTGTTTTCTGGCTTTTAGGCATCATCTACGCATGGGGCGTGCGTAATAAGATTTTTGACTTTTCTAACACTCAAAAAGAGCCTTAGAAAGTTGGGGGTTTTTTCGGCTTTTAGGGGTCCCCTCACTGCCGCCGCTGCCGCCCTGTGGTGCCAGCACTAAGTGCTGGCAAAGCGGCGGCCGCGTGTGTGTGTGCGCAAGTCCCGCGAGATGACGCCGCGTTGCCGCCATGTTTGCCAGCACTAAGTGCTGGCGCGGGCGCGAGCGCCAGCTCTCGCGAGGGTCGATCGCCCCCGCCCTGCCCGCCTGCCCGGCGCGGCGGGAAGTCTCGCGAGAGCGGCGCGGGGGGCAGGGGGCAGCCATGGCGGCCGAGCGGGGCCGGGGGCGGCGGCGGCGGCGGCGCGGGCGGTGCTGAGGGGGCCGCGGGGCCGGGCCGAGGGGCCGCGCCGAGGGGCCGCCGCGGGCGCCATGAGCCAGGGCGGCGGGGCCGCCGGCGAGAGCGGCGAGCCGGAGGCCAAGGTGCTGCACACCAAGCGGCTGTACCGGTGAGGAGAGGGGCGCGGGGGATCCAGAGGAGGCTGCGGAGGGTCAGCGCGGAGTAGGGCGGGGGGCACTGGGGGAACGGGGAGGGGTCTGGGGAAGGGAACCGGGGAGGGAGAACGGAGCTGGGCAGGGTCAGGTGGGCGTCTGGGGACTGGGGCGGGGGGATTTAGGGAGGATGGAAGGGAAGAAGGTGGGGGAGTTGTCAGGGAAGGGTTCGGGGGGGGGGGGAGGCTGGGGAAGGAGACTGCGGAATGGAGAGAACAGCGGGGATTAATGAGGCGGGGGGAGGAATCCAGAGGAGACCTGGGGAAACGGGGCGAGGGGGATCGGAGGCATGTTCAGGAAAGACGGGGGAAGAAGGTAGCGGGATTTAGAGAAAGATTAAAGTGAAGAACTTGGGCGGGGAATCCAGGGAAAGCGTGCAGTGCCAAGGGAAAGGAGAAGGGGAAGGTTTAGGGAAGACTGGGGAGCAGGGAAGGGGAATAAGGAGGTTGTGTGGGATCCAGAGCAACAAATGGGGGGAACAGTGGTGAAAAGGGGCCTGGGGGCTCCAGGGGAGATGGGTGAAACCAAGGGGCACAGGGGGATTCAGGCAAAGTAGGAGAATGGAGAGACGGGGAAGGAGACAGGTGGGAGAGTAAGAAGGGGGTCATGGGAAAGAGGATGGGTCACACATGGGGGATGGAGAAAGGAGTTCTGTGGGATTCAGGGAGGTGGGGTGGGAGATGGTGGGGGCTGAAGGGAGAGGAGGTGTTGAGATACAGTGGAATGAGGGTGAGATGTGTGGTCATCCAGGGAGAGGGGGGCTTTAGATGGTGTCCCTGACTTTGGCAGTAGGCAGGGATTATGTGGTAAGTGCTGGAGAAGAGGGTGGGATGAGCAGGAGCCTGAGCCAGAGCACTTTGGTGCTGTCTGGAGGGCAAGACTGCTCCAGCTGCAGATCTTTCCAATAAAACACTCCCTGGGACTCTGCTCCTGTATCCCCACACTGTGCATTGGAAATGGCATCAGAGGACAAGACTGGGGCAATCGTGCTAGCCTCGGTGAGCCCAACCCCCGATGGGATGAGGTGTCCCATGGGATGAGGGTGTCCTGCTGTCAGCCCCGAACTGCCTCTGCTCCACTCATGCCTTATGTTGTGAGGGTGACCCAGAAATTGCCCTCTTCTGGCTCCAGCTCTCTGTCAGTACAGCAGACCCGTGGTGGAGTTCCAGCAGAAACAGTGGGTTTCAAAGATGAGCCAAGTGATGAAGACAAGACATGGATTTTACATTGGGGTCTGTTTCTTTTTGTCTTGGTGACATTGGCCATGTCCTTTCACCTCGTGGAACCTCACTGCCCTCCTGCAGCAGGGCAGGCTTTGCCTCCTGCTGGGGCCTCTGGCAGGGTCCATGCCCAGGAATACCAGGCAGTAACTGCAGGTTTGAGTGTTGGTTACTGGAATTTCTCTGTTTCCATCATGTGTTCGGTGCAAACACTTTCCTGCACTTTGAAGGTGCAGTGGCTGCATTTCTTGGCACTGGAATGGCCTGTGACCAGATGAGGGATTGTCATCCAGACAAGAAGGGTTGCTTCTGTTTGAATTTTTATGGCAGAATAAGATGTGTGGTTGCTTTGGAGCATTTTTATAGCAGAAAAAGAAACCCCATCTCCTGCAGGGACGGCTCTTCTTTAGCTGGGAGGAAGGAAGCATTGTGATTTCAGTGCAGAATTTATAGTACCTGCAGTGGCCACAAATTTCCTTCTCCATAGCTGAGAGCTCTGTGAGCAAGTTCCCACCTCAACAGTCTCCTGTCAGTCCTTCTGTTTGAGCCTGGACTGGGGTTGGGTAAGGCAGGACCTTCCTGCCCTGGGAGAGGCCCGTTGGGTTGTGTGGTCAGTGTGGTCTCTGGGAACTCGTGGCTGTCGCATCAAGCGGCGCCTTTGAGTCACAGGTGTGAATTGTCACAGTCCCAGCTCTGCACTGTGATCCCGTGGGATCAGTGTTGTGTTTGCCTGTGGGAGTTGAGTTCAGGTCCCCACGGTCCTTGGCAGCATGCTTGAGTGTCCTTTCGGAGAGGAGGGTGTCCGTTGCTCTTATAGGGTGCTCCTAGATCTTTTCCAAATCTTCCTGTATTGATAGTTCCCAAGTTTCACCTTGGAATGTGGCAACTGGATTATCCTGGGTGTACTCTTTTACAATGCATGCTGTAGCTTTGGGTGACCAGGTTTATTTGACAGGTTTCTAGGTAACCATTAGCTTGTGTACTTGGTGTTACTCTTCCTGTCTAGAGCCTGTTCCGGGCACTGTAATTTGTGACTGACACGTGCCAGAGCAGAGATGAACGGCTGCAGGTCTTTTCCCTGAGGAATGTCTTATTCCTCAGAGGCTGTGGCTCTTAGTGATGTATTAAATAAAGAAACAGAGAGGGGACAAATAATTCTGCCTGCTGTTCTGCCCCATCCCAGACTGTTAATGGCACAGAGGGAAGGGGACAGATCGGTGTCTGCGTGTCTGGAGAGGACTTGGCACTGGCCTGTTTCCACCCTGCCTGGCTCCATGTGCTGTACTTGATTCTTTTAATAGACTGGCATCTGATTTGCCTCCTCTGTGGCTCTGATGTGCTGTCTGAAAGCAGCGTTTAAACCCAGCAGGTAGAAAAATGGGTCCTGGGACAGGATTTGGCCTCTTAACTGCCAAGTAAAGTTCAGCCCATGGTCTCAGGCCAGTCCAGGCACAGATGCTGAAGGGCATTTTTACCAGTGCGTGGTCCATAGGGCCTGCATTGCTGTTTTCCAGCATTTCTGCAGTGAGGCTGGTTCCTGTACCTTTTGTCCTCACTGAGTCCCTTTTCCTCTGCACTTCAGATCCTGACAGGTCATCACCAGCTGTCAGAGATTCTGCTTTGCTCCTGCTTCCTCCTCTTCAAGCAGCACCACGAGGCCCGTGTGGACAAGTCTACGTTTTAGTGTGGGGCCTGTCTTAGGGCTCAGGAACCACATCCCGGCCTGTAAACCTTGCTGCTCTCCAGTCACCAACTCCCTCTTCCTTTACAAACCCTGGAAGAACAGCAGAGGCACCGAGTGTCTGCATGTGCCCATCCTGGGCTGTTGTAGGAAACAAGGTTGTACAGGAGATGCCCTCCGGGCCACCTTGAGGGGAAAGTGAAATACCTTTCAGTGTCCCTGATCAGCCCATCCCTGGAAGGAAACTTTTCTCTACTTCTAATTTGGCAGGGCTTTGAGTCCTGGTGCATATAAGTAAGCTTTCCTTCATGGCTCGATCACATTTCTTGCCCATGGATACTGTTGGCAGGTCAATAGCTGTCTGTTTGCTGGTCACTGGGAAGGGGGTCTGGCAACTGCTCTTCGAGAAATTCCTGCCATTTCAGCAGTGTTGTGCTGCATTTCTGACACTGCTGAACTCAGGGGGATTCTTAGACGAAGTTTTGTGACCCTTCCTTAGGATATAAAAAAATCAGAGCCTTATTTGGCTGTGAGAGAACTTGGACTGTGTGCCCATAAGGGAGTTTGAGTGGAATAAATGTCAGGAGAAGGAGACAGTGTTGAGGCTCCAAATACAGTTAACTTGCACGTGAAGGTTTGGACACTGGTGCTCACACCTGTGAATGTGGTTTTACAGCTGCTTTGAAGAGGTGGAGTCTGCCCATATCGGAAAGCAACAACTGTAGTTTTCCTATAGTTCTCCCTGGGAATCAAATGAACCAGCAGTTCCCCTTTCCCCTGGTCACCCTCCTGCACAGGAAGCCAGTCAGCTCCTGGTGCGCTGGGAGGGGCTCTGAGAGCCGCAGCCAGGACAGCAGTCCCAGGCTGCAGTGAGGAGATGTGCCTGGCCTGTGCTTTGTGGGGAAACTAAACTGGAGGAGGCTTGTTAGTGTGCCCCCACCCCACTACGAGCTTGTCTGGATGCTGCATACTCAGTGCCTGTTACCCGTCAACCAAAATATTTTTTATTCACTTCCTTGCTGTTGAAGGTATTGGGCTGTCAGAGGTTGCAAAGGCCCTTCAGGCCGTGTGAGAAAGAGGTCAGTGAGCAGGAGGGGCTGGATGTTGAGGATGTAGCAGGATTTTGTGTGTGATTCTTACTCCCTCCTTGGTTTTCTTCATGATTATTCAGGAAGAAGTTTGTTCAACCCTGTGGTGTTTTGATCTCTCAAGACGTTGCATAAGGCACTCCTGTTCCCCATGCTTCCTTCTTCTGTCAGGTTCTGTGGTTACTGAAATGACATTTCCAGTTACCTTGGGTGAGAGGCTTCTTGTGGCATGGCAGGAGATGGGACATTTCCTCTGCGAGCTCTGGAATGTCCTGTTTTTTTTTCAGGGAGGTTCCTTTTGTTGTCGTGGGTTTGTGAAGGAAGATTGACTTTGCTGGGAAGGGGCTGGCATAGAAAACTATCAGTTACTTTGCAGTAATATCTGTAGTTTTCAAGGAAGTGGTGGTGGTTTCAGTCTCCCCAGCACATGGGCTCGCAGGCTGTGGCTTATTTTGACCCCGTGCTCCATCTGGCCATCAGTGCACTAGCAGCAGGTTCAGTCACAACGTGGTGCTGCAAGTGTGACGGGGCAGTTCCCGTTGAGCAGGCATGGAGGTTTTGGGAGGGGGAGCAGTCTGGCCACAGCACCTCAGGAGTTTGCTCTGATGCTGCCCCGTTCTGTGTTTGACAAGCACATCACGGCTTCTTCAGCTCCTTGTTCCAACAGCTCTCAGGCTGTGATGGGCTCAGCTCAGGTGTGGGGCAAACAAGGAATGACAATGGGCCAAGGGGGAGAACAAGGATTGGTGGAATTTGTGGCTTGAGGGATGGCTTGCTTAAAGAGGAGCGTGTAGAGTCAACAGCTGGGAAGAGTTGACTTCAGGAGTTCTGCCCCTTGGATAGAGGCAGAGCACAGGCAGAGGTTGGAGGTGACTTCTTGTGTCACAAGGGTTGACGGTCGATTGTGCTTTATCGAGCGGTCCATGAGCTATTGATGAGGTTCTTTCTGTCAGCACTAATGCTGCTGAAAGTCCCTGGGACCATTTCACTGCAGCATTTGGAATGGTCTGATTTGTTCACAACTTACAAACTTTTGAGTGCTTGAGTTTTGCACGTGGTTTGGGATTCCTCCTCCAAGAGGAAAGTCTTGGGCAGTGATTCACAGAAGTATTTCTGCATGACTCCAAACTTTTTGAGGTTGCTTGCTCTCTCTTAGCTGGCTTTGGGGGGGAAAAAACCTCAAAACAAATTTCCTCTTTTGGGCTGGGTTTGAATATCTCTGTTACCTATCACTGAGACTTCTTTAAGGGTTTTAGCCAGTGAATCCTTGTAGCGAAGACAGGGAAGTTTTGGGAAATGAGTGATTTGACTTGCCTCCCTTCATAGGCAAGTTGGTAAGGAAGCAGGAATTGGTGGAGGTTTGATTCTTCCTATCAAAATAGTGATTGTTAGCATTCAGTCAGTTGTTTTAATCACACAGTGACTATGGTGTGGTGGTACAGGGTGGTGTGCTGACAGTGGAACTAACTTGGACACCCCAGTGATCCCAGCTCACCCACTGTCCTGAAACTCTTGGTTCTGTGTTCCCATGCAGGGCAGTGGTTGAGGCCGTGCATCGACTGGATCTCATCCTTGGCAATAAGGCAGCGTATCAGGACGTGTTCAAGCCAGAGAACATCAGCTTGAGGAACAAGTAAGTTGGGCAGGATACTTGTGTTTTGTGTTTGGCTGGGGAAAATCCGTGTGAAGCAACATGTGGAGCTGTCGAATCTGGAGTTTCTCAGTGTATTTGGTTTGTTGTGTGCCTCTTGACCTGGGATTCCTCCAGATTTTGGAAGCAGAGGCTGGATTTCAGACCTGCATTTGATCAGCATTAACCCCACAGTCTGTAGCTGGATGCTTTCCTGGGTGTCACTGATAGAAATAAATTGTGTTTGTGTTGACTGGTTCCTTCCTTGTAATAAAAACTGCGGGGCAGAAACTTTTTACTTATGTGTGACATCTTTTATCAGGTTTGGGGGGTGCAAAGCAGAGAGGATTATTCTTACTCATTTTTTAAGCTGTCAAGCCAATTCTTATCATTACTGCACTTTAGGAAGTCACTGTTGGCCAGCCGAGCCCAGAGTACTGGTTTGGGTGTACAGCTTTTCCAGGTGCTCTTTTGTGGGAGTGATCCAGGCTGTATCATCACCACATGTCCTAGCTTAGCTATCGTAATGGATTCGGATGCTTCTGTAGTGGATTCGGATGCTTCTGTAGTGGATTCCATGCTTCTGTAGTGGATTCCATGCTTCTGTAGTGGATTCCATGCTTCTGTAGTGGCAGCTGTGCTTGAGGCTGCAGCAGCTCACTGTGAATGCTCTGCTGTCTGTCCCAGGCTGCGGGAGCTGTGCGTGAAGCTGATGTTCCTGCATCCAGTGGATTATGGAAGAAAAGCAGAAGAACTGCTCTGGAGAAAAGTTTACTATGAAGTTATCCAGCTCATTAAAACAAATAAAAAGGCAGGTATCTATGGCTCTGGCATGAGAAGGTCCGTGGTTGCGCAGTGAATAAGGCCAAGTTGAAAGCTTCATCTGCTTGGAGAAGTTGTGGTCTGAGTCCAGGGCGGGAAGCTGAGGGCTCCCGAATTATTATGGAGCTTCCCTGTGCCTTTAGCAGTGGGCAGGTAAGTGCTAACAGGCTGCTGAGAGAGCTGCCATCGCAGAGGGCTTTTCAACAGAATTCGCTGATTTTTTTGTGTTCCCCACTTCATGTGTCTCCCCACTGGAGACAGATCTCTCCATGTAGAGCAGTGGTTTTAAGAGGCTTCATCAGTAGTTCTGATTGTTTTTATGAGAGTTGATCACTGGAAGGTCCTCACAGTGTTCCGATGCTGTGAGCTCTCCTGGTCATCCAGGGGTCAGGGCATATTTAAGGTGCTCTAACCAGGCAGCTTGATTTTATTTGTTGTTGCAAGTATTTCTCCTTGATGTTGACCCTTAGTAAACACCACTAGGGGCAACAGTGTTGAGCAGGAGGTACAGAGCTGTGCAAAACCGCTTAACAGCTGAGCTACCCACTGTCTTGCTTCCTAGACTGCATTAACGTGCTCCTTTTCCTTCTCGCAGCACATCCACAGCCGCAGCACTCTGGAGTGCGCGTACCGGACTCACCTGGTGGCTGGCATAGGGTTTTACCAGCACCTCCTGCTCTACATCCAGTCTCACTACCAGCTGGAGCTGCAGTGCTGCATCGACTGGACGCACGTGACGGACCCTCTCATAGGTTTGTGCTCGTGGGCTTGTGGGCAGGGCTGAATCCCAGACAGGTGGCCTCACCTTGCACGAGTCCATCTTTGTTTTAGCATTCAAGGGATTATTAGCAAGTTATCTGCCTAGAACAGATTGTCCTGCTTTCTTCTCTATGGCACTTCTTTTTATAATACTATATTAGGGAAGAAAGAAGGGTTTCTAGCAGAAAAAAGTGTTAGAAAATTATGTAGTAAGTGTCTGATGATGGCAGATTTTTATGGAAAATTGAAGAGCTCTGCTGACTGTACAGAATGTTTTTAAAAGCTTAATTAAAACAGACAGAGGAATAGGTTCTTGAAATCAACACATTTCTTTCAGTACATCCTAGTCACTGTAAGACACTGTTCCTCTTCTTGGTCCCTCTTCTGTCTGTGCTCTCTTCACTGTGTGGCTTTAAAACCACTATTGGGTATTGGACAGGAGGGTCCTGTAGCTCATGTCAGCTGGCTCAGGTGATCTCTGTGCATGCCCTTGGGTGCAGGGGAATCTGAGGTATTGTACCTGTTAGGGGAGGAAGGATAAGAGTGTTTACAGTCCTGAAGCAGCTCAAGGCCGCCTGTGCATTCACATCCTCAGTTGCCTTGTAGTGGTCTGTGTCCATTTGCCTTTGGTTGTGCTTGGTGGCCTCAAGGCTCATGTGTCTGTTTGGGTGGGTCGGGGTGAGAAATGGAACCTCCATGTGTTTTGTGAACTGTATTAGCAAGGGTTTAACTGATACGCTTAAGCTGGCAGGGGGTAGGAAGGCAGCACCTGGCTGAGAAAAGTTAGTGTGTCTTTAGCAAAAGAAGGATTTTAGGTGCTGAGATCCTACTGTTAGTTCTGGGACATGATGGTATCACTATCAGCTTTGAAATGTTGGTTTACAAGGCAGATGTTCCTGGCAACTGTTGCTTTGAGAAATGTATCTCAGTACTGCAGAATTAATAAATCCTCAAAGTGCACATTCCAGGTGGGTTTGTACCCTGAGGGATGATTGCATGTGAAAAGCTCCCCTTGTTCAAGTTTCTTGGTGTGTTTGGACTCTTTAATTAGAAGGATGTGGCAGGTGGGCATGTAACTGGAGAATAGAGATGGAACCCTGCCTATCCAGAAGTGATGGATGTGAAAGGATCCGGTATGAACCACAGACTGGGGTGGGCACAACTCGATGGTTGTGTGAATGGGAGCAAGAGGATTCAGAGCAAAAAAAGGGAGAGTAGGTCCAACAGCACACGTGGACGCAGATTTAAGGCTGTGTATTTTTTAAAATACCACTCATACAACACCTGTTGGTAAGTGGGAACAGCTCCTCACTGCAGTCTCCAGATTTCATTTTGACCCTTTTAACCTCAGCCAGGGGGGAGGCAGAGTAAGGACTGGATCAGTCTTAAAAATCTTCTTTGGGATTCCTGCATGAGGGAACTTTCTCCTCCAGAAGGTGGGAGTCTTTGGCAGCAGGAAGACTGAACCCAGCCTCAGCCTGTGCTGTGGGTGGCCCGGTGGACACTCTCCGGGGAGGAGGCGCAGGCGCAGCAGCCTTTGCCTCCTGATCTGTGGCCGAACTGTGGCCACGCTGGCTGGGTGGAGGTGGGACATGCCCTTCCCAGGAACTGAGTCACGTTTGATGACTTCAGTTAGTTCAGATCAGCTGGCTGCAGCCTTCCCCTGTTGCTTTTGACACTTTCCACTGCCTGAACTGCCTTTTCTTTGTAAGTTTAGTATAGAATAGACAAGGCTATTTCAGTTGGAAGGGATCTACAACAATTTTCTGGTCTAACTGCCTGAGCAACTCAGGGCTGACCAGGAGTTAAAGCATGTTGTCAGGGACATTGTCCAAATGCCTCTTAAACACTGACAGGCCTAGGGCATTAACCAGATCTCTAGGAAGCCCATTCCAGGGTGTGACCACCCTCTTGGTAAAGAGAGGCTTCCTTATGTTCAGTCTAAACCTTTCTTGATGCAGCTTTGAACCATTCCCATGCATCCTATCATTGGATGCCAGGGAGAAGAGACTGACACCTTCACCTCTTCAGGAAGCTCCAGAGAGTGATGAGGTCTCCCCCAGCCTCTTCTTCTCCAACCTAGAGAAGCCCGGAGCTGATGGCCACTCCTCCCAGGGTGTGCCTTCCAGCCCTGTCACCAGCTTGGTTCCCTCCTGGATGCAAAGGCAGCATTGTCCAGAGGCAGTTCTCTCTAACTGACTCCAGCTGCCCTGTCCACAGCACAGATTTCTGTCCTGAATTTTCCTTCTTTTACTTCTCTTTTGGTTGGCCAGTGCTAAGTCTAGATCTTGGTCTTGAGACAATGAATTTATTTCCATCTTCCGTGTTGGGAAGGGTCTGTCCCCGTTGTGTGCTGCTGCCCAGTGCCAGTGCACAGAGTTTGTTTGGCTTCCAGGGATATGTACCCGCTCCCATCCAAAGGCCTCATTAGCCATGCTAATGAAATCAACTTTAGTAGCTTGTGTTCAGTCCTGTATTGACATGATCATATGATCCTGTAGACAGGAATTGGCCTTTGTCCTCTTATCTGAGGGCAGATGGAGCCAGGTCACTGCAGCAGACCTTGTAGACAAGGTGACATCATTTATTTCTGTGACTGTTGGTGATGTGGTCACACACACCGCTCCGGTCAGCAGGGTGTCCAAGGCAGGTGGGTGAGCAGCAGTGTCTGTGAGTATTTTCTCTGTTTATTTTCCATGTTTTGACAACAAGAGTGACCCAGGGCTGCTCTATAAGGTGCCCCAGACAGCAGTCAGCAGTGGGGTCTGACTGTGGGGGCTTTGATTTGGGTGTCTTGGGCAGAGGCATGGGTGGCTCCTGTGTCTTCCCAGCAGCCTCCACCCGGTGCTGTAAGTGATTTCACGTTTACTTGTAGGCTGCAAGAAGCCCGTGTCTGCATCGGAGAAGGAGATGGAGTGGGCACAGATGGCATGTCACCGATGTCTAGTTTACCTGGGAGATCTAGGTAAGAACAGCATTGCCTCTCAGGGCAGCCTTTGAAACATGAAAAAGATGGTGCCTGTACCATGCAAGGCCATCACTGTTAGGCACCAGTTGAGGTTACTTGCAGATTCTGTTTCCCTCTGACCCCTTTGTCACAGGATAAGCTGAAATCCTCATGGCTGAACTGCTGTGAGTTGCAGGAGCTTTGGTTTTTGGCAGGTAGATGAGGAGTTTGCTGCTGATAACCAGCTGTGAGTGTGTAAAAATGGAAGCCTTTTCTTTTATTTATGTGGTTTGGACAGTGTAAAGGAAACTCAAAGCAAGTTGACTGCTCAGTTCTGACTTGCTTTATGGAGCCACTGCCATCAGCACCAGTGGGACAGAAAATCAGATTTAAGCAATATTGTGCATCAGTCCAGAGTTTTGCTACTGCAAGGCCCCAGGTTTTTTGTCATTGTGCCTGGCTGTGTGTCATGCTTTTTATAGCAGGCATGTCTGTCCCACAGTGACGCCCTCCTGAAGTGTGTGGTGTGTCAGCTTCTTGATTGTGAACATGTGGGAGTGAGCATGTACTGTGTGGAAAGCAGCTCTTGAAAGTGCGGCGTGGGTACGTGTGTCTGACACTCTGCAGCCTCCAAGCTGGTGAAAGCTGTTTGGGATTATCATTGTGCATGAATCAGCCTGAAAATGGCATTGCAAATAAATGTCTTGTGGGGTAGTAAGAATGACTTACCTGAGTGGTGGGAGAGAAACATGTTCACCTCTTCACAGTGCTGTCACCTAAGGTTTTCAAAATGCCTATGTTTTTCAAAAAACAGGAAAAAAAAAAAAAGAAAAAAATTAATAAAGTCCAGTCTAGCCACAGCCAGATATTTTATTAAGTCAGCTGACTTGACTTAGATTTCACACTCTGCTGTAGTAGAATATAGTCTGAGGTATTGGAAAATAGAGCACAACTCTGAGTTACTTCAAGGATAGATGAATAACACATGGAGCAGAACATCTTCGCTTTGCTCACGTGCTGCTGCAAGTGCGGAGGGCCTCCCCCGGAAGGGGCAGAGCTTGTGGTGTGAGCAGGTACAAAAAACTTCAGACGGGCCTGGCAAACCCTGTGTGTTGTGTTTGCCAAGAACAGTTCTTTGATGGATTTGTTGATTTGGCCAGTATGTCAATTATTGTCATGTCTTTAATCTGTAGGGAAACTGTGCTGCGCTGCAGTGGGGAAGAGCAGGTGCTGCCTTCAGGTTTCTGATGTGCGGTGTGTGGTTTCCTTTCAGCTCGCTACCAGAATGAGCTGGCAGGTGTGGACACGGAGCTGCTGGCGGAGCGGTTTTACTATCAAGCCCTTTCTGTTGCACCACAAATTGGTGAGTGACTTACCATGAATTTTTAGTTGTTAAAACAGTGTTGCCACAACCTGAAAACAATGTGGTACTGCACCGGTCAGGTTTATGTCCTGCAGCTGGGAGAGGAGTGGTTTCATCCTCTGGCTAGGATTGCTTCCTTTGAGAACCTCTCTTGCTGGCAAGACAAAGAGAGGAGTTAAAGCCAGGGCGCTCCTTGTCAGTGACTTCACCTTACTCATCTGAGAACCTCTGAGAAGCTCAGACTTCCCTGAGTGTGGTGACATTGTGCCTGTCGACTGAGGGCAGATCCAGCTCTCCACTGCCAGGAGCAGAGCATTATTGGTCACGTCCCACGTTTTACACCTGCAAAAAAAATCTATTGTGCTGTTTCCTCCTTCAGAAGTGCCTCCTTCTGGGAACACATTGGCACTGGAGTGGAGGGCCTGTCTTACCTTAAAGTATGCATTTCCAGCCAAGTGTTCTCTCCGTGCTGTCTTTGAGCTGTTTTGATAGGCTGGTCTCAAATAAGTGACAATAATTTCTGCACCACAGTAAGCTGGAGCAGAGCTCTCAGATGCTGATAAGGTGATGTCTGTGTTGAGAAATACGGAGTCAAGGCTGCGGCATTGTTAATACAGAGGAGGAGGCATTGTTTGCTCTGCTCTCTTATGTAGATAACTGGCAGAAGGTGGGGAGTATCTAAAAGCTCTGTAAAGCAGAAAACAAAGCCTGGATGGCAGAAGGATTTAGTCCAGACCTTTGTACTGCAGCTTTACTACTGTTTGTGTCTCCTGGCTTTCTTCCTGTGTGGAAACGTAGTGAGGGGGAAAGGATCTACTTTTCATCAGGGCTATTGGAGAATTCCATGTGAATTCCATTGCCCTTCTCCTTCCTGACAGGAATGCCCTTCAACCAGCTGGGGACATTGGCAGGCAGCAAATACTACAATGTGGAAGCAACCTACTGCTACTTACGCTGGTGAGTGCCTGTGGGTCTGGGCGTCCTGGGCTGTGGAGCAGTGTGCTGCTGCTGCAGATGCTGGATCCTCTTTGCCTTCACTTTGGACTTGGGACTGTTTTCAGCAGATTAATTACAGGGGAAGGGAAAGAGATGGGTTTAGATCACCCTTGAGCAGGGCTGGTAATGAGAGCAAACCTCAGTCAAACCAAACCATTGTGCTGGTCACTAAACTTCTGTGCAGGGCTGCACCTGGAGGGCTTCACCTGAGCCCTCTCCTTAGCTGGAGAGCCAGGCAGGAAGGGGTGTGGAGGTACTGAGGGAGGCACCCTGCCAAGTGAGGTGGGTGGAATTCAGTTACCTGAACCTGGCCTGAAGGCACCGATATGAGGTGTGTAAGCCGGGCAGGTGGGAGCTGTGGGGCAGCTAAAGTCGGGTTTGCAGCTGTCAGTGGGAGTTAAGTTGCCCAGTGTGTGCCGACAGCAGCACTTGGTACCTGTCCTTGTGCCTCAATGCCTGAGTAACTTGCTAGTGAGTTAAAGACATGAAATGTGAGCAGCCTTGTAGCAAAGTAACTTCTGCTGTGTCTTCTTTTGTGTCTCAGCATCCAGTCTGAAGTGTCCTTCGAAGGTGCCTATGGGAACCTGAAGCGGCTGTATGACAAAGCAGCCAAGATGTATCACCAGCTGAAGAAATGTGAAACCAGGAAGTTGTCTCCAAGCAAGAAACGGTAAGAAGGGAAAGAAAAGGAGAGGGTTGCAGGCTGAGGGTTTGCAGTGTCATCCTCTGGGTTGAGAGTAGTGTCTTTGTGGGAAGTGGAACCAGTAGATGGGCCATTTGATGCGGTGACTGCTCCCAGAATTTCAAGAGCCCCACTCTAGATCCCATTCTTGATGTCTCAGGTCATAATTTCAGGAAAAAAGCTAAATGCCAGGTTTAGTTTGAGATGAGAGGTTTTTTTCACTCTCCCCTGGAGTTGGGGCCTGTTTATAAGGGTTGGGGCGTATTGGTGAAAGTTGGCAGTGTATAAACTGTCTTCTTTCCCTCCACTTTCATCAGAATGCAGCTTTCAGTTGAGACCTGGTTTACCTGTTAACAGAGCTCTGTGAGACCAGACCATCTCTGACGAGGCACCTGCTTTACAGTGTTTTCTCTTCCATCTCTTTAGAGGCAAAGACATTAAGAGGTTGCTGGTGAGCTTCATGTACCTGCAGAGTCTTTTGCAGCCAAAGAGCAGGTAAGGTTATGGCAGATTACATCTTCTGTTGATAACTGACAGTAGCAGGCACTTGGAATTGTTATTCCCTGTCGGATAATGGTGCCTGTGCTGAGGCTTTCTGCCAAAAGATCCAAGACTTTAGACTATTTGTACAGGGTAGGCTGCAATACCAAAGGGTTGATTACTTTGTCTAAATCGAGCCAGCACTCAGTAAGTGTTGAACTCCTGAGCCTCGCAGCTGTCTCTGTGCTGTACTGTGCCTTTGGTGTTTGCTTACCTTGTGCAGTCATCAAATGCTATTTCCTGGCAAGCCCTGGATTTGGGCTGATGGGACAGCAAAGAGTCACCATCCACACATGTGCAGGGCTGTTCACTGCACTTGGAAATCTGTAACCAAACACCTTGTTCAAAGAAACAAACAGCAAAACCTGGTTGTTAGCTGTGTGATTTTTGTTTTTTTTGGGTTTTTTTCCTTGGATTTTCTCTGACTCTGCTGGAGGTTTTCAGGTGATTGTAAATTAACCTCTAACTGCTTGAAATAGAGCAGGTATTTTAAAGGGCTTAGACACAGGCTGCACCTAAAGTCATTGTGGAATGGTTTAGGTTCAAAGGGACCCTGTGGGGGTCCAGTTCTCCTCCAGAGTAGTGTTCACTGTGCAGGTAGATACAGATGTGAAGTCAGATGAGGTTGCTCAGAGCTTCATCCTGCTGAGTTTTGACTGGATCCAAGGACAGAGATCCCACGCCTCTCTGGTCCCTTTTTCAGTGTTTGACCACCTTCACCACAGAATTTTTTTCTCCTTGCATCTAGTCTCATATTCCTTTTCTGCAGTGTGTACCCATCACTTCCTTTCCTTTTGTTGTACACCACTGAGGAGAGTCTTTCTTGGTCCTCTGTAAACACCTCTTTGGCATCTGGAAGCAGAAGACAGTACCCCTGAGCCTTCTGTCCTTCAGGCTGAACAAACTTGATTCTCTTTGCCTCTTCTCATACATCATGTTCTCTGTTCCTCTGCTGGACTAAGTCCACTTTGTTAGTGTCTTTTTTTTTTGGTGGGGTTTTTTTGTCCTGAGGACCCCAAGACTGGATGCAGTGCTCCAGATGCCACCTCATGAGTGCCAAATAGAAAGGGAGAACACTTCCTCACCCTGCTGGCTCTGCCCTTGCTCATGCAGCCCAGTGTAGGATTGGCTTTCCAACCTTGACTTATGCCGTGGTGGGATTACAGTATACACTACAAGGCTCCTTTAATATCCACTTAATATGTATTTAGCACATAAGAAAATTGGAAATTACTTCAATTTCCCAAGGACAATTCCCCCTGAAAAGGACTTGTTGGAAGTTCTGCTGGCGGGTTTGTTTTGTAACTAGGAGGCCCCCATAGCCCATTGGACTGATCCTGTGGGTGCTTCCTTTGAGGGAGGGAATAGCTACAGAGGATTTTGGAATATTCTTGCGGGACTGCAAGTTTGAGTCATAGGAGGAGGAAAAGCTGAGTCCTGTGTGTGTGCAGTGTAACACTTTCACTGAGCAGCGCGTCTGGAACTTTTGCTTCCTTTAGCGTTGAAGTGCCTAATGGGCACTGCTGAGCTCTCATGGGAAAAGTCATCTGGTTTCTGGTGACCCATCTCTAGTTCTCATTTGTCTTCAATTTAGCAGCTTTGGAGAGGAAAGCATAATCTGATTAATGTCACTTGCTTCCCATAGCTGTTGTTGACTGCAGTATATTCTCTGGTGCTTCATCCTGCCTGGTGCTAAAGCACAGCGTAACTGCTAGTTTTGGTTCAGTTTCTGTGCAGACATTACCAGAAGCATGAGACTTGAGTAATAATTCTTGTTTATTTTTAACTCTTGTTAAGCTCTCTGGATTCTGAGCTGACGTCTCTCTGCCAGTCTGTGCTGGAGGATTTCAACCTGTGCTTGTTCTACCTGCCCTCTCCTCCTAACCTGGGCTCAAGTAGTGAAGATGAAGAAGAGTATGAGAGCGGCTACTCCTTCCTTCCTGATCTCCTGATCTTTCGCATGGTCATCATCTGCCTTATGAGTGTTCACAGCCTCAAGAGGGCAGGTAACCAGTGCTTTAATGGAAATTTCATGATGAACATGCGGTACTGCAGTTAGGCTGGAGATGCTGTGTGAACTGGTGTTTGTGCTGTGGCCTAGTGCTCACCTCCTCCACCTCACTGTCTGGTTGCAGGTTCCAAGCAGTACAGCGCAGCCATTGCCTTCACGCTGGCCCTCTTCTCTCACCTGATAAATCACGTCAATATTCGCCTCCAGGCAGAGCTAGAAGAAGGGGAAAATCCCGTCCCAGCCTTTCAGAGTGATGGCACAGGTAAGAGAACAGGCGTGGCAGCAGCTGGGTCTCCCTAGTTGCCTGCCTATAGGGCTGGCTTTTCCTGTCCTAATTTTCTGGGTGTGGGTTTGGTAGTGTAGTGCCTGAGTGAGGGTAGAGGCATCTTGATCTTTGACTTCTGGCCTGGAATCCCCAAAGCTGGATGATCTACTGAACAGTCTCCGTTTGGATGCTCTTTGTGAGTATCAGAATCATCACAGGATGGACATGTTGCTTTCCTTGTAAGAAGTTTACTTTCTGTGTTTCTTGGCAGCTCATTCATCACCTGTTTACCCCAGTCCGAGACTTTATTTTCTGTCTCTCTGTTTACTATTCTTTACTGGCCTTTTTCCTCCTCCAGTGAGGAGATGATCTTGGGTGAAAGACCTGGGCTGGGGTAGGCAAAGGGGGGCTGAGGGAGGCAGAGGAGGGCTGAGGGAGACAGGCCCTTTCAGCATACCTCAGCTCTGCTCGGGCAAGGGCAGCACTTGAGTTTCTGGGGAATACCATTGAGCAGAGAATAAAACTGCTGAATGTTTCCCCTACCAACACTCTTTTTGTAATACCTCACTGAAGGCAGGGTGAGAGGGTTCCTGGTAAAAGCAACAATGAACAACCCCTCCTCTGCAGGTTTTGCAGCTGTCAGGGTGACTCAGGGTTGCTGGAAAGGCTGTGAGAATGTTGGTCAAGGAAAGGATTGGGTCAGGTCATTGCCTTGTTTGGGGGGTTGCTCTGACTGTAGAAAGCTGGGGAGGAGAGTTAGAATTCATCTGTGTTTGGTGTTGGTTTAGCAGCATTCAGCACTAAGGCTGCCTGATAACAGAGCAGCACAGCTTGGGCAGTAGGAATCACAGCTTCCCAGGGCTTCCCCAGGTGCCTTTAGAAAGTGAGTAGCTCTTCTGGGGTTGCCACTGCTTGTTCTGACACTGATGGAAGTGGTGGCTGAATTTTGCGGCCCTGGTGCCCCAGGCTCAGGGCTGACAAGCAGCAGCCTGTGGGAGGCATTGTGACTTTAGCTTGTGTTCTCCTTATAAATCCAGATGATCAGGAATCACGGGAGCCTGTGAACTCAATTGAGAAGGAAGCTGAAGCTGAGTTGGCCAATCATCAGCCCAGCGAGGAACAGCGGAAGAACAACTGCAAGAAAAGCAAGAAATACTCCCGGCTCTCCTGTCTGCGCCGCCGCCGCCACCCCCAGAAAGCGGATGAGAGCGACCTGAGCGAGGGCTTTGACTCTGATTCCAGCCAGGGCTCCATCAAGGGCAGTGATGGCTCAGAGAGTGGCTCAGAGAAGAGTGATGAGGAAGCAGAAGCTGCTTTTGATGTGGAGACAGACTCTGACATGAACAGCCAAGAGTCTCGATCTGACTTGGAGGACATGGAGGATGAGCCGGGTGAGGAGGGAAGCAGCCGAGGCAAAAGTGGGCCCAAAGAGGCCTTAAAAAACTGTGTGGATGGCAGTGGGCTGGGGGACTCCAAGAGCCCAAGCATCTCTAAAACTGAGGCAGCAGATCCAGCAGTCAATGGGCCAGCTTCCCTGAGCACTAACGATGCAAGCATAGCCAGTAACCTGCAGGCCATGTCCACCCAGCTGTTCCAGACCAAACGCTGCTTTCGCTTGGCCCCCACGTTCAGCAACATCCTCCTGAAACCCAACAGTGAACCACCTGCCTTGAAGGACGGGATAGAGAGCAAACCATGTGTCAACGGAGATCTGGAGAAGCCCAGCTTGGCAGAGCAAGGTAAGGGCCTTGTTAATGCAGTTTTAAGTAGAAAACTGCATGTTGTGGCAGTCTGTATGCTAAATTCACCTTTTCTCGTGGTGGGAGCTCTCCTTTGGCCAGGTTTGGAGAACAAGGTTGCCCAAGTAATGGACAGGCCATGGGTTAGGCATTCCCTGAAGAAGGAGCTTTACTTTTACTGCCTGACATCCAGGAATATGGGCACTGAGCAGAGGCAACACCTGCAGCCAGCCAGGATTACCAGAATAGCTTCAACTCCACATACTAAACACTGAGCAGCTCAGATAATTACAAGGTCATAGGCTGGTTTGTTTGGAAAGGCCTTCAAAATTCATCTCATTCCACACCCCTGCCACAGGCAGGGATGCCTTCCACTAGACCGTGTTGCTCCAAGACCTGTCCAACTTGGCCTTGAGCACTTCCAGGGATGAGGTAACCACAGCTTCTCTGGGCAACCTGTCCCAGGGCCTCACCACCCTCACAGGGAAAAATTTCTTCCGAATACCTCATCTGAATTTACCCTCCTTCAGCTTAAAGCCATTTCCCCTTGTCCTGTTCAGGCCCTTGTCCAAAGTCCCTCTCCATTTCTCTTGGAGCCCCTTTAGGCACTGGAAGGGGCTCTAAGGTCTCCCTGGAGCCTTCTCTTTTCCAGCTGAACACCCCCAGCTCTCCCAGCCTGTCTCCAGAGCAGAGGGGCTCCAGACCTGAGAGCATCTCCGTGGCCTCCTCTGGACCTGCTCCAGCAGCTCCACATCCTTCCTGTGCTGGGGGCCGCAGAGCTGGAGTCACCACTGCAGGGGGAGGTCTCACCTCAGCAGAGCAGAGGGGCAGAATTTCTTCCCTCAAGTGCTGCCCACACCGTGGGGATGAGCACAGCACAGCATTGGCTTTCTGGGCTCCCAGTGCACATGGCTGGATCATGTTGAGCTTCTTGTCAACCCACACCCCCAAGTCCTTCTCTTCTGGGCTGTTCTCCATCCATTCTCCCTCAGCCTGTGTTTCTGGGGGGTTGCTCCAAGGCACGTGCAGTACTTGCCCTTGGCCTTGCTGAACCACCTGGGGTTGGCACAGACCCAGCTCTCCAACCTGTCCAGGTCCCTCTGGTGCCGTCCCTTCCCTCCAGCCTGTGACTCCACCACACAACTCAGTGTTGTTGGCAAACTGGCTGAGAGTGCACTTGATCTCGCTGTCCATGTCACCAACAAGATGTTAAGAAGTGCTGGTCCCAATCCTGACTCCTGAGGATGCCACTCATCACTGCTCTACGCTTGGACATCAAGCCATTGGCTGCAGCTCTTTGAGTGCTACATCCAGCCAATTCCTTGTCCACCAAGTGGTCCATCCATCAAATCCATATCTCTCCAGTTTAGAGACAAAGATGTCATGAGGGACAGTGCCAAATGCTCTGCACAAATCCAGGTAGATGATGTCAGTTGCTCTTCCCTCATCCCCCACTGCTGTAACCCTATTTATAGAAGGCCACTAAATTTGTCAGGCACTATTTACCTTGGTGAAACCATGCTGGCTCCAGAGGATAATTCCAGCAGGTATTAAAGATTGGAATTATCTTCCTTTTTCCCATGTGAAATCTCTAATCAGACACTTACTAGGGCCTCTGGTGACAGACAGTGCAGATGCAGAGGAGGAAGTTCTCCCTAAGATGACAGCTTATCAACCTTGCAAAGCTCTCATAGGAGTTTATGTGTAAGATGTGACCTGGGTGCATGTGAGAGGTGTCAGGGTCCTCTCTGTGACCCCCTGAAAGTGCCTCACCGAGTGTCCCAGGCTGAACTCCCTGGAGATGCACAGCAGGTGGAGCTGCCGTATCTCCATTACCACCAAACTTAAGACCGAGTGATGCTCTGGGCAAAAACAGCTGGAAAGGGAGATCTGGTGCACTACAGGAATTGTTTGTATTTCAGATAAAACCACATGGGCCTGTTTGGTCTTCTTTGTCATTCCTTCTAGCTTTCCTGGAGCAAGGAAGCATTCTGCAACCTGTTGCCAAATCCATCTGGCCTGCAGCACTGGCAGGATTCAGGCTTTTCCTGGGCCAGAATTTGAAGGGGCAGTATTAGATCATGTCAGTATTGACTGGCTCCCAGCATTGCTTCATGGACACATGAAAGAGGTGGGGGGTAGAGGAAGAAACAAATGGGTTTTGATCTGTTTAACTCTTTTCCTCAGTGGGTTATCCAGATGTTGCAGCTCCAGGAACTGTGGCCACAATACCTTTACAGATGTAGAAAATGAGAGGTGGAATGAGTTCACTAACCCTTGGGGTTTTTTTAGGTTTGAGCTCTTCTCGGCTGTGCTGTTTCTAAACTGGTGTTTTGTGGTGTAGTACTGTCAGGGATGGGTTCTGAATAAATCACCCCCTCCCTTGTGATTCCAAGGGTTTATGGAATGCCCGTTGCTGTGTTAATAGGCAGCAATGGCAGCCCTTGAAATAAGGGGCTGTAGCAAAACATGTTGTTGATTCCCACCTGGACCTCAGGTCACGTGTGTCACATGTGATTCCACTGGCAATGGCTTTGAGATCCTCAGCTCTGGAGAGTTACAGGATTGCAAAGAATATATTCAATATTTAAAATTCCTCAGGCCTGGGTCATAGGACAGCCCTGCCATTTTCCTTCTCTTGCGTGGCCCAAAGGTGGGAGTGTGCTGGACTCATGACCATCGCTGACTCTGTTCCCTGCAGGAACTGCCCTGCTCCTTGTGCAGGCATGTGCTGCCCTGCTCTGTCAGCAAGTCTCTCAGAGGCTGCTGCAGGGGTTAAGGCATTTGTCAGACCTTCACAGGGAGATCTTAGTCCTCTTCTCCCAAGGAAGATGAAAATGCAGGAGTGATACATTCTGGTAACAGCACAGGGGACCATGGTGGAAAAGGGACTGGTTTTATGAGGGTGTGTGGAGGCACCAGGTAGTTCAACACAACTCTTTACCAGCTCAGCGCTGTTCTGACACCATCAGGGCTTGGCATCTCAGGGGTTTTAACCCCTGCCATCCTGCACTTCCCTTTGTTTTCCAGATGATGTGTCTGACTCCGAGGAAAGCATTTCAAGTAACAAATCCTGCAGGAATGAGCGATCCCTTCAGGAGAAGCTGGAGATCGTGACCAACGAGGGGCTGCTGCTCACTGTCAAGGTGTTCCTGGACTGGCTGAGGACGAACACAGACCTCATCATCATGTGTGCTCAGGTGGGGATGGTGTCAGGGCTCCCTCCAAGGCTGTGTCTGGTCAGCTCCCCTGGACTGGGATGTGGAGGGCAGGTTGCAGCCCCAGCCCCAGTCCCAGACAGAGGGTGATGTTACATCCCCCACCAACTGAATTAAGCTCACCTGGACTTAAGAAGGGTAGTGAGATTTACTCTTCATAAAGCATTCTGCAGGCTGTGAGGTGCTGGAAGGCTCAAGTGACCTGGTTGTTGTGTACATCAGTCCTGACATTTTCTGTGGCCTTTTGTGTTCTTTTCCTGCAGAGCTCCCAGAGCCTGTGGAACAGGCTATCTGTGCTCCTGAACCTTCTGCCTTCTGCTGCAGACCTGCAGGAATCAGGTACTGGAGAAGAAAATGGCAATGTCATGTTTCACCAACCCTAGTCCTCAGTGATTCCCAGGGTGTGTGGGAGATCCCAGGGGACATATTTCCAGGGAGCAGTTTTGATAAGAACAATGGGAAGCAACACATGCACGTGTTGTTTTTTTTGTTAAAACACCGTTACAGTTAACTACTATCCCATAGACTTTAGAGTCATAAAATCATGGAATATCCTGACTTGGAAGGGACACCCCCCAGGGTTATCAAGTCCAACTCCTGGCCCCAACAAGACAACCCCAAAAATCACACACAAAAAACGTATTATATATGGCTGACAATATGCTGAAACACTGACACCAGCGTGTGAAAATCCTTGTGTGGCCAGCAGGAGTGAAATTCACTGCCAGGAGCAGAAGTAAGGCTGTGATTTTGTCACGGCAACCCTGGAAAATAGTTTTGGAGCTCCAGCTGCTCATGATGTGCCCTATGCCTCTTTGGGGCTGAGCCTGAAGAACCCTGTGGTTCACAAGAAGCAGAGTTTAAACAGGGATGTTCGTCTGTTGGAAGGAGGGAGAAAGCTATCCCTCCAAATGGGAGAATTCCTGGATTCGCTCAGCAAGCTGTTTGGGGCAGTTGCTCCTTATGTTTTGGGTGGCCTTTTGGTTCCTCCTTGAGTAGGTGCTCACAGGACATGTGCCATTAACACCTCTGCCAGTGACCATTACAGATCATGTGCCTTAAAGCAGTTTTCCTCTTTGTCCCCTTACCTGTTGTTTTGCTCTCCTTCCCGTCCCTCCTCTTCAGGGCTGGCCCTGTGTGATGAAGTCAAGGACATCCTGAGTGAGGCTGAGCTCCCAGACCTGAAGGCCAGCCTCCTGCTCCCAGAAGATGTGGCCCTGCGCAATCTCCCCCCTCTGAAAAATGCACACAGGAGGTTTAACTTTGAGCAGGACCGGCCCATTTTCTCAGCAGTTGAGGAGGTGAGTTGGTATAAATCCTGGAAAAAAATCAGACCTGGACTGCTGTTTTATGTAGTTCCTTTTCCCAGCACTGAGGGCCTGAGCAGAGGTTTAGGATGGGACTGCTGATGTTTCTCGAGGCTGTCTTGGGTTGGGGAAGCCCAGACTAATGGCACTCCTGAGCACTCTGGCCAGCTGTCAGCTTTCCTGCTGCCCCCTCCTGCAGTCTCTGACCTGAGATCAGAAACATCCAGCAGAATTAGCAGTATAATAGCAGTTCCTGCCTTTTCCAAAAGTGTGAGCTGTGGGTCAGAGCTGGCTCAGGCTGCAGCCCCGTGGCCACTGACTGCCTGTTCTTCCTTGCAGTCTGTCGTGCGGATCTGCTGCATTCGGAGCTTCGGTCACTTCATTACCCACCTCCAGGGCAGCATCCTGCAGTTCAACTCGGAGCTTGGGATCTTCATCAGCATAGCACAGTCGGACCAAGACAACTTGCTGCACCAGGCCCAGGCCCAGTTTCACATGGTGAGTTGGCAGAGGTGGATGAATTTTCTGTGCTTGGCACAGTTTCTTGTAGGTTACTATTAGGTTGTAACTGTAATCGCAGATCTTTGGGGGGAGATGACTGTTCTGCTCCTTAAACCTACTTTGGTGTCCCCTTTTCACCCTGGTTTTGGAAGTGCGTGCTAATGTCAGCTGGTGTGTTTCCTGCTAACTGATATGGAAGTTTGGTTTTGCAACTAGGCTGCAGAGGAAGCTCGTCGGAACAGGCTCATGAGAGACATGGCTCAGCTTCGACTGCAGGTAGGAGATGCTGGTTCCAGCCTGAAAACCATCAGGGTAGTGACTGGAATGTCAGAAACTGGGAAGGGAAGGGGGAACTCTCTGCTCCCATCCTACACAGAGGCAGTAAATCCATTCTGTGTAGACTGAATTACAGAATATCTCAAGTTGGAAGGGACCCATTAGGATCGTGGAGTCCAATTCCCTGCTCCTCACAGGGCTACCTAAAACTAAATGGAATGCCCAAGAGCATTGTCCAGGCATTCGTTGAGCTCTGGCAGACTTGGTGTCATGACCACTGCCTTGGGGAGCACGTTCCAGGGACCAGCCACCCTCTGGGGGAAGAAAGTTTTCCTAATGTCCAACCTAAACTGTTCCCCTGATGCAGCAACGAAACTGCAAATGGAATAAACCATTTTCTCGTGTCCCATTGCTGGTCATGGGAAAGAGGAAATCAGCACCTCCCTGTCGCTGACCCCCATGAAGACAGGGTAGGCTGTGGTGGGGGATCACCCTCAGCCTTCTCTGCTCCAAGCTGTGCAGGCTGAGTAACCTCAGTGGCTCGAGCTTTCACCATCCTGGTCATTCTCCTCTGGACACTCCCTAATAGTTCAATGTCTTTCTTATATTGAGGTGCCCAAAACTGCTCCCAGTACTCGAGATGGGGCCGTGCTGGGGCAGTGCAGAGTGGGACTGTCATCTCTCACTGACCCTCTGCTGCATCCAGCCCTCTGCTCCGTGTGCTGGGAGGTTGGAAGGGCCCAATGGAGCTTTGCAGGGTGAGTCTTGCCCTGTTTGATGGTTTGTTTCAGCATAAATTAAGCCAGTGTCTCTGCATCTGTGTTTTCAGCTGGAGGTGTCTCAGCTGGAGGGAAGTCTCCAGCAGCCCAAAGCACAGTCAGCCATGTCTCCTTACCTTGTCCCGGACACCCAGGCCCTTTGCCAGCACCTGGCCCTTGTCAAGCAGCTGGCCACCAGCGGGAGGTTCATAATCATCATCCCTCGCACAGGTATGGGGACTCCACGGCAGGTAACTGTGGCTGCCTGCCCCTGTCCCCTCTGTGCTGGGAGCAGACCTCAGGGGCCCGGGCGGTGGCTTTCCCTCCTCCTTGACTTCGGCTGGTGCAGCTGCAACACCATTTCCAAACACGTGTTTGGAATCCAACAGAGTGTGTTGGAGAACAGCTAGGGGGAGAGAGGTCCTGTTCCCCCTCTGCCTGCAGCCATGGCTGCTGTGCACCAGAGAGAGTTCCGTGGAATGGGGAATACTTGACACCTCTGGATTAGTTTGCAGAAGTAGAACTGTAAGCAAGATGGTTTTCTTTCTTTTTTTTTCTTTTTTGTTAGTTATCGATGGCTTAGACTTCCTGAAAAAGGAGAACGCCGGTGCTCGGGACAGCATCCGGTACCTGGAGGCAGAGTTTAAAAAGGGAAACAGGTGAGAGGGGGAGAGGGATGTGATTTGCCCTTTCTTTTGGAATGAGTGGGATTTGAGGTGGAAGAAAACGTCAGTGGTGGGAGCAGGCTGTGCATCCCTTGGAGCAGAGCGAGGAGTGGGTCAAGGGAAAGCCAAGTTTCAGGAACAGGAAGGTGGTGAAGTAGCAGGTTTGGCACCTGGTTCTCCAGATGTGCTGGCAGTTGTTGCTCAACTGTGAAGTGCAGCTGCTTCTGAGGAACGGGGGAGTTGCATCTCTGTCACTGTATGAACCAGAGCAGTGCCCTTTGTCACTGCACTGGGAGTGCTGGAAGAGCTGGACTGTGCCTCAGTGCTCTGCAGAAGCACAAAGAGCTGTGAGGACAAACTTTGAGGCCCATGTTGGGGCTGGTGGGCTTTGAGATGTGGTGCTGTGAGCAGGGATGATGGTGAGGCAGGGAGGTGACCAAAGGGATTCACAGGGGATTCCTTGGGCAGGCCTTTAGGTGTTATTTGGATTGATAATAGCCAGTAAAAGGCCCTGAAGCACCTGGAGGAGCTGCTGTGGGGCACTGACTTTGGTCCGTGTGATGGTCTCCATGTGAGCTCAGAGACTCTGCTTCTCCTAGGTACATTCGTTGCCAGAAGGATGTTGGGAAGAGCTTTGAGAGGCATAAATTGAAGAGACAAGATTTAGATGCCTGGTAAGATTTCAGCATCTGGAGGTGTCTGATCCTGGTTCCCAGCAGACAGGTGGCTTTGGGGAGAGGTGTTAGCACTGGAACCCATTACAGAACTTGTTCTATGTGAGTGTAGTGGGTTTACCCACCTGGACACACTAAAGCCACTCTCTCGCTCCCCTCTGCAACTGGACAGAGGAGAGAAAATATAACAAAAGATTCATGAGTTGAGATAAAGACCGGGAGAGATCACTTATAATCACTGTCATGGGCAAAACAGACTCAAAGTGGTGATATTCGTTAAATTTATTACTGACAGAATCAGAGCAGGAGAATGAGAAGTAAAATAAATCTTAAAAACGTCTTCCCCCCACCCTGCCCTCCTTCCAAGTTCTACCTCCTCCCCGCCCAGCGGCACAGGGAGGGGGGGAGTGGGGGTCACAGTTACTTGTTTCTGCCACTGCGGTGGGTCTGTCCTGGCTGGCATTGGCTCTGCTGGACATGGGGGAAGCTTCTGGCAGCTTCTCACAGAAGCCACCCCTGTAGCCCCCCCATAACCAAAACCTGGCCACACAAACCCAATACAGTGAGTAATGATGAAATTCCCTGAAGTTAGGGACATCCATCTGCATGTCTCACACCGAGTGCTTTTGCTCAGAAGAGTCTCAGAAAAGTCCTTCCCAAGCAGATGTGATCTTCCCACTAACCTTCCCCTCTGGTTTTCTTTTCTGGCAGGAATCTCTATAAAATACTGGACAGCTGCAAACAACTGACAGTGTCCCAAGGGAGTGGAGAGGACGACACCACGGGAATGGTCACCATCATCACAGGCTTCCAGCTGGAGGACCCAAGCACATTTTCTGTGCCCATGCAGGTCAGTAGCTCTTTCCTGGCTGAGCTGAGCTGTTCTGCTTCCTAGCAAGGGTAAAATATGATTGATTGACAAGATTTTTTTTTTTTTAATGTTTTCTACCTTTCTGCCTTGGCCAATAACTTCCCTGGGTTTCCCAAAGTTAGCTTGTAAGTTGAGATTCCTTTTTCCTTGAAAGTTCCTTGATTTGTCATGCTCTCATGGTACAGAGTATCCGGGAAGAGGTGAGAGAATTGAATTTCATGTCTGTGCAGGCCTCTTGTACCAGAGCAATGAGAATTGGGACGATTGGGCCTTCCAGCAATGCCAGACTGCTGGAGAGTCCCCAGTTTGGGAACGGCAGTTGTCTTGACAGGGCAAGGAAAAAAATAACTGCCTGTTTTGTCTGTGTTTGCTTGCAGTCTGCCATCCAGGCAGCCGCCAACGCCAGTGTAGAAATAAAAAATGTTCTGGAGTTCTACAAGCAGTGGAAAGAGATGGGCTGATGGTCAGAAAGGCATCAGGTTGGTGAACCTTTCTCTCCCCCTCTCGGAACGTGCAGCGTCTGAACGAAGGAAACAACAATCTGGGCGACACTTAGACACGAAGAAGCAGCAGCAGCAACAGTAACAAAAATACCTACCCAAACGAATTAAAAAAACAAAAAAAATCCAATGTGGGCACGCACACAGACACCCTCCACCTGCATCCCGACCAGACGGCTGTACAGCTCTGATGGCGCCAACTGCTCTGAGAGAGGCCCCTCGGCACCGCCGGGGCAGAGCTCTGCCCTTCTCCCAGTCGGCAGAGATGGGCGAGAGACGGGCAGTCCTTCATCCCCCTCCTTCCTCCAAAAGCTTGCTTGGCCAGCGGAAACGGGCCGGTGGTTCAGAGCGTGGACTTGGCTTCAGCGAAACCAAACCAGCGTGGTGGAAATGGAGCCCTCCGGCTTGGGAAAGAAGATCCAAAGAGTGTTTTGCTCTTGTCTGGCAATCTGGGGACAGGAAAGCGGATAGTCTTTTTTTTTTTTCTTTTGTTTTCCCTCCTTTGAAGTAATTTTTTTTCAAGGGGTTTTTTTCCTTTAAATGCTTAGGGTTTATATATATAAATAATATTAAAAAAAAAACCAAAAAAACAGGAAAAAGAGGATTTCCCTTGGGGTTCTGGATACTCTTCCAGTGTCAGAGAGAAAAGGAAACAATTATGCTATTTAAAAGGGGGGGAAAGCTCTTAATATAATTTTTTTGTCTTAGAACAAGCATATTTATTTCCTTTCCCAGTCCCCAATGGAGCGGGCTCAGTGCAAAGGGATGTGGGCCTGCAAGGAGAGAGCAGCCCCATGGTGCACATCCCTGCTCTCCCTACGAGCCACACACTTCATGAGCGACATGAGCTTGGCTGTGCTGCTCCAGGGAGGCCACAGGACTCTCTGCCTCTATCCCCAGTCTCTCCCACTTTGCTTCCAGCATTAGACCTCGGAGGAAAGGAGGAATCCAGCAGAGTAGCTGGAAGAGAGAGAAGAGCCGGGTGGTATTTAAACACCGATAAGGCTCAACCGCTTGGCTTGAGCACTGCAACCCTGAGATGGAGGGGACGTCTCCAAAGAACCCAACACCTCTTTTTTTGTCTTTTCTTTTTTCCCCCTTTTTTTCCCTAAATCTTGCAATGGGGTGTGGAGGAGGAAGGAGGATCTCAAAAGCCATTATCTTCTGCTGGTTGTTCGACACACCACTGCTGCTATGTCATGCTAGAGAGGGCGGCAGAGCTGGAGCATTTGTGCCCCCCTCTTTGTGTCCCTCAGGGCCGGCAGAGGCAGTGCCATGACTGCCACTGCCCAGGAGGACCAAGCTTACGGACCATTCCGTGCTTTTCGCATCCCAGACGGGAGGGATGATGCTACCTGGACAGATGCTAGAAGAGCTGGTTCCCCAGATGACCCATGAGGGACCTCACAGGCCTCCATCCCAACAGCATCTAACGCAACCTGTGTCTGACACATCGTCACTCACCGGCGCTCGGATGTGAAGTCGCGGGTTCCTCACAGGGCAGTAGGAGAGGGGCTGGGTGGCCTCTTTGTGCTCCCTCTGCCTCTGTGTGCCCATGGAACAGACGTCTCCACCCACATGAACCAGCAGCAGCTATGCAAGTACAAACCACTGGAGTCTTCTACCTGTGTGTGTTCTCACACGAGCCAGCCAGAAGCTGCTACAGCCGGGGCGTAACACGGGAAGGCAAATCACATCCTCCAGTCTGTGTGGGCTCTGAGCACAGTGTGTTGTACTGCAAGGGCAGGATGTTCCTTGTTTTCAGGTAAAAACTAAGAATACCAGCACAAGTCCCAGAGGATTCATTTTTTTTCCAGTTCTAGCTCCTTTGCAACGCAGCAGAGGGAAATGCCAAGCTCCACAGTTCAGCTGGATCCATCCCTGGAGGCTAGCAGGCAGGGGTGGGGGAGGGACAGGGGTTTCCCTACAGGATTTTCCATTTTGCAGCTCTTCCTGAAACAAAGTGCTTTGCTTGGCTAAGCCAAGGAAAGGACATACACAGGACAGCAGGTCAAAGACTCTGGCTCACCTTGGAAGTTCTTAGATATCTGAGATGGGCTGTGAAACTCACAGTCACTCTTCCCTCCAGTGGTAGTGTTTGTGTAGCTCATTATTTCTGTTTGATGGGGTGGGAAAAGAGAAGGGAATCACCTTGTGGGATGTGGTGGAAAGCAGAGGCATCACCCTCTGCGCCTCAGCTGATATGCAGAGTGCTCTTGTGGTGAAACACTCCTTGTCTGGTGGGGGCCTGGCTCGAGGACATGGTGGGCTCTGCTTTTTCCTGCTGATGGGGAACTCCCCTGATCCTGAGCACAGCAGAACCGTCTGGGAGTCAGCTGGGGCTGAGCCTGACTGTATGTGTCTCCTGTCATCCCCCAGCCACGCTTGGGGTTGGTGAAGAGCAGCTGTAATCAGAGCAGGGAGGAGCTGGGGGTACTGCTCAGCTTTGTTCCAGGCTGGTCGTTCCCTTGGTCCCAGCTGGATCTGGAGGGGAGGGAAGAGCAGTGCAGGCAGAGCAGCAGCCCAGAGGGAATCCCTGTCTCACTGGTGGCAAGTGTCTCAGTTTGTGCATCTCCCAGAGCTGTGCAGGGTGGGAGCTGGGAGCCAAGTGCCATGGGGTCAGGGGCTGGGGCTGGAGGCTGAGGCTGGCACAGTGTCCTGGGTCACCAATGCCTCGTTTGGGCACAGGACACAGTTTAAGAACAAAAGTAAATAAACTCAATTTCTGTAACCAGAGTTTGTGGAGCGACCGTAAGCCCATGCGGGGCCACATGGCGAAAGCAGAGGCTATCCTTAGTAACTGCTCTTGTTCCCTGAGGGGTTGGTTTAATATCCCCTGAGGTTTTGTACACCTGGAGGGAAGGAGGAACCCTTTGCCCTGCAGTGGGGAATCCTGACTGCCCTGTGCCACCTTCCACCCTGGGCTGCATGGGGATGGATCATGACCTTCTAAACGGGCACCCGAAGGGTCCCTGTGCCACCCTCCTCCTCTCCGGAGTGTGTGGCTGTGGTTGAGGACCTGGTGAATGGTTTTGGGATGCATGTTCCCACTCAGATACATGGAGCTTAAAAAGCAGTAGACTCCAAAGTTCTGGAGCAGTGTGGCTGCAAAGCGGCCTCAGGGGGATGGCACGTGGGGTCCTCTGGCACACATGGTCTTCTGGGGGGGCTCGATGTGTCATCTTTAGGGTTGGGGTAAAGGAAGGCACTTCTCAGCCCCCATCCCAGTGCTTGGGATGAGCTGGAGTTTCCTCCCTGGGGATAAATCGCACAGATCTGCTCTGTCCGAGGGCCTGTGCCTGTTTGCTCAAATCCCAGGGGATTTGGTGCATCATCCACACCCCAACAGTGGTGTCCCTGCCCTGGGGTGGTGGTCACTGATGCAGAGCAAACAGGACGGTCTGTGGGAGGCTCCATGTATCCTGTGGCTCCTGTGCGCTGTGGTGGGGTCTCCCTCAGACACCCCCCAGCCTGTGCATCCCAGCCAGAGCTGTGAGCTGCCTCACCACGAGAGCATCGGGCAGGATGGAGACTGCAGGCGCTGCCACAGCTCATCCCTGCAGTGCTGCTCCTGCACTGACTCCAGGCTTGCCCAGACCAGATCCAAGCCAGTTCCATAGCAGCCGCTGTGCTGGGAGGGAGGGCAAATGGAAAAACCATCTTGTGGGCCAAAAACAAGGGTTTTCATGTGTTTTTGTGTGTTTCTTGGGTTTGGTTTTCTCTTTGTTACCACCCAGTTGAGCTGTTGGGGGTTTTTGGGGTGACCCCATGCTGGGAGGACGTAGATCTGTGGTGGCTGAGGCTGGCTGGGCTGTCCTCACACCAGGGTGGACACGGCCGCTGGTGCTCGTTGGGCTTCTGCTCCGTGGTTTCATGGGCTGTTTGGAGCAACTCATTCCTCTGCTCCCATCCTTGCTGGGCTTGAGGCCACCTGCAGTGCCTCGGGTTTTCTCTTGCATCTTCAATTTAGGGTTCTTTTCCTTGTTGGCACGTAGCAGCGCTGGCCCAGCCAGCCGGGGTGGGGACAGGGCGGGCTGGCACAGGGGCTGTGTCGCTGGCCCTGCCACTGGCAGCGAGGGGACTGTTGGTTCAAGGCAAGGGACAATCGCCTCTCCTCAGCCCTCCTGTGGCACACGGGCCTGCAGAGCCAGGGGGGGTTTCGCTCTCGCTGGGGGACAAGGGGGCACGGGGCCCAGCTGGGCGAGGAGGGGCTGGGGCTCGCAGCATATGACAGTGGTCCGAACACATTGACTGGCTTAATAAAATATGAGATGTTTGTACCTCGTATCCTGTGGTCCTTCCCACACCATCCTGCCTTTCCTGTGCAGCCCCAGAGTTGGCTGTGTTCTCTGTCTCAGAATCTGCCCTCAGATGTGTGCTTTGCTGACCAAACTTTCTACTTTTCAGGAAAAAAAATGCAGGTGGATCCTTCCTTGTCCTTCTGATGGAAATAGCATTTCCATTGCTGCCTCTGCAGTTTGGGATGAGTTCACCCTCTTTCCAGGATTCCACGTGCTGCTGCCACAGGAATATCTCCGATCCCAGCAGAAGAACCTGCTGTGGCTCACTGGGCGCCTTTGCAGCCTGGTTTTAACAGGGGAGGGGGAAAGTGTAAATTTTTAAAATACGTAACTTTTTGGTGTCCATTCCAGGCACTGGGCACGGTGGGTGGGGCTGGGTCCCACCACACGCTGGTGACAAGGGAAGCTGGAGAATGTTTTGTAGGGGGAAAAGAAAATGAATCGGTGTTCCCTTCCCTGTATTCATTCTGACTCACCAGCAGAGCTCCCTGATTTGCTCTACTAGTGGGAAGCACCGAGCCAGGCACCGGCATAATTCCCTCTCCCATTCTTTGGAGACTGCCAGCGGTGGGAAGCTCGGAGAGGGGGGTTGTGAAAAGGCAAATCCGGCTTCAGTCCCCAGTGAGGGAATGGGCTGTGGCTGAGACGTGCCCTGTGTCCCAACACCGCCCTGGCACAAAGGGGCTGTCTCTGCCGGCTCCATCCCCTCCAGTGGGGCTGGGAACATCTCTTCCAGCTCTGGAGGACTGTGCCAAGAGGCCATTGGTATTCCTGGCCCTGTATAGGCTGTGGATGTGCTGCTGGCTCCATAACAAACCCTGAGCCTTCATCATCAGTCCCTACAGGCAGCGTGTTGCTGCAGGGGTGCCATGGATGGGAGTTTGTCCCATGCCCTTTGCATGGGAATGGACTGAGGATGAAATGGAAACAGGAAAAGGTCACAACACTGGTCAGGGGCTGGGACTCCTGGTCCTGCTCGTTGGGACCCCAGGAGCTGCCATCTCTCCAGCCCCACAGCCCATTCCCCTCTCTCTCTGTGCCTCCACTTCCCCCTTCCCCTGGCAAGATGTGTCATTCCCCTGCCCTGAACCCTGCCTGGGTTTGCTGTGCTTATGCAAGTTATTTTGGAGGGACTGTTCAGCACCAGGGTCTGCATGCTGGTGTGGAGACCCCAAACCCTCCCAATAGGCCTTCTGCCAACACTACTGGGGACCCACGGCTTCCCCTTGGCCGGGGCTGCTGGAGCAGCAGAGACCTGCTGGTGTGGACTGGCCGCTGAGTCCCGGGCAGGCACAGGGTGGATTTGAGCTGCTCATGCTGTGCCCAGCACCCAACACAAGCCCTCCGGGGGTCACTAAATCCCCAAGGATGGGGACTTGGAAGGCACTGATCCTGCTTTCAGCTCAGCCCTTCGCCCGCAGCAGTGGCTCCGTCCAGCTGCGGTGCGGAGCCTCTGATGGCATCGCCCCCATGGACTGAGCCAGAGCCGCCACCAGCCCTCCTGCTGCTGCCAGGCCAGTTTTGTTTCCCCAGACTTTTGAGTTTTCCACCTCTCCCCTCCCAGGTCTCCTCTGGTGGGACCCAGCTGGGTGTTTATGAGAGTCCCTGCGTGGACCTGCACTCAGCTCTGTCGCCTGCCCCAGCTCTCCCAGTTCGGTGGCAATTTAAGATCCGGTGCCCAGAGCCGCTTTGCAATGGCCCCTCCAGTGGTGGAGGTTCCTGTGCCCTCATCCAAGTCCCGCAGCACACCGGCGGTAACTCCCCCTGCACGGTGAGGGGTCCTGTCTCCAGGGTATTTGAGTGGGCTCATCTCTGCCATGGTGGCCTTGCCCTAAGGCTGCGTCTGCCAGGGACATCCCCAGGGCTGGGAGCCTCCGCGGGGATGAGGCAGGATCTGGCTCTTTCCTGCAGCTCACCTGACAGCTGCCAGCACCCACCCATGGCCCCACCATGCTCCCCCCATCCTGGGCCTGGGATCTTGATCTTGCCTAGCCCGTGGCTCTCTGAAACAGTCAGAGAGTGGACTTTGCTGGGCACAGCCCTGGAAAAAAGCCGGGAGCCTTCTAGGGCGTGTCCGTCCTGGCTCCTGCAGCCCCGAGCCCTTCCCACCCTGAGCGCTGCGGCCCTGGGATGCTGCTGGTAAAGCTGCCTCAGATCTTCAGGGTCCACAAGGTGTGGCTGGGGGAAGGGGGCTCTGCCGCCAGGATTCTTTCCCCAGTTCCCTCATTCGAGGTGGGAAATCATCTGGACTCCCCACCCAGCCTTGCTCCAGTTGTGAGATACTCCCAGCCCACCCTGCCTCAGTTTCCCCACCCACCATAACCCTACTCATAACCCCACAGCAGATCTTGGGCTGCCCCACCCCCCCGGGATGTTCCCTGACCAGCCCTAATGTCCCCACAGATCTTCTGGGAGAGTGGGATCATGTCAGGATAGCAGCACCCCAAGAGCTCAGCCCATGGCTGTGCCCTCAGCTCCTTCTAGATGAAGAACGAGACAGTTGCATCTGGGCACACTTCCTGCTGACCTGGTGGAGATGGGACAGGGATGGAGATGAGGATGGGAATAGGAGTGGTGATGGGCATGGGAATACAGGATAGTGACAGGGATGAGGATGGAGACGGGATGGGGACAGGGACGAGGATGGGAGTGACAAAAGGATGGAGATGGGAATGGGGGCAAGGGACAACCATGGAGATGGGGACAGGGCTGGGAACAGGACTGGGGGTGAAGAGGGGATGTAGATGGAGATGGGGACAAGGGGGAAGACAGGGACAGAGATCAGGAGAGGGAACTGGGATGGAGCTCACCCCAAAACATGCTCTGCCCTCATAGGTATTTCCTGTGGCACTTCCTGGTGCTCTCCTCCTCCCTAGAGCTCTACCAGGAGCCCCACCCTCAGCCTCTGCTCATCTACCTGCTGCTCTGCCTCTACCCCTTCCTCTCCAGCTGCACCCACACCTTCAGCTCCATGTCAGCACCCGCCCGCCACATCTGCTGCTTCTGCAATTGCAGAACCCTCGGTCCCTCTAGCCTGGGGGAGCTCAGTGAAGAGGGGCTGGCACAGGGGTGCGGATGGGGCAGGGAGCCTCAGGCCCCTTGACGTTTGCCTACAGTGCCTCCACGATGGTGAACTACTGAGTCAGCAACTTTTGGCACTGATACTTTGTCCTTTGCTTTGAACTCCTTTGTCTGCACTGGCCTCTCCTGCTACTCCTGGTATGTTTGGGGTAAGGAAATTGGGGCTGGAGGTTTCCTCCTTCTCAGCTGTGGGGTCCTCTTGGTGGTTCCCATTGCTTAGGCCCAAAGCCAAGGTGCCAAGCCTCTGGAACATGTCTGTGTGTCTCTGTGTCTGTGCCTGTGTGTCCATGTCTTGCTGCGGCATGGCCACTGCTCGGTATCAGCCCCAGGGGCTGCGTGCACAGGGCTGGAGGCAGAACTGAGGGGTTTGGGCTCAGGGAAAGGTGTGGAGGACTGGCAGAGGCTGCAAGTGGTAGGAGCAGAGGTTGATGGGGTTCTCCCCAGTGCCCTGGCTGAGCATGGGCCGGTGGTCTTGTCCCACAGGACTCCAGGGGCTGTGGCAGGAGATGAACTGGGAGATGGGTGCAGGAGGTGGGTGGTGAGGCCCTGGCACAGGTTGCCCAGAGAAGCTGTGGCTGCTCCATCCCTGGAAGTGTCCAAGGCCAGGTTGGATGGGGCTTGGAGTAACTTGAGATAGTGGCAGGGAGAGGTGGAACAAGATGAGCTTTCAGGTCTCTTCCAATACAAACCAGCTGTGATTCCATGAATTTGGGGCAGGGGACTCAGCAGTCCCTACATGGGGACTCAGCAGTGTGTGCACGTGTGTGTGTGTGTGTGTCAGGGTTAATGAGTCATTAGGGTGGTTTGTGACAGAAGCCCCGTAGCTGGGCAGGGTGCAGGACCCTGGGGTGCACAGAGAAGCCCTGCTGTCCTCCATAACCCCACGCTTGGGAGAAACAGCTTTAAAATAAACTGGAATAATGGTGGTGCAGCACTGGGTTCCTCATTGCCAGGGACAGGATCCAGGTGTGGTGACATCACTCCACCGTGGAGCCTGGGAGGGGACAAGGAGGGGGGCCAGAGGTCCACAGCTATGTGGGGTGGGGGGACAAGGGGCACGTCCACTGAAGCCTCCCACCCCTCCACCCCCCCAGCCCGGGAAGGAACTGGCTCCACAATATGCATTTATTTTTTTCCAGGGCTAACAGAGAGGGTGTAAAGAGGGGGGTGAGGGGTGCTCAGAGCTCAGCCCCTGCCCCGCAGCTCGGCCAGAGGGCGGCGGGGGCTACACGAAGCCGTAGTAGTGCCGATACGCCTCCTGCAAACCGACCTGGTCGGCCAGCTCGTCACAGTCGGGGTTGAGCTCGCACACCTCACGCTTCGCCTCCAGCGGGTCCGGCGGGGCTGCATAGACGCTGCTGAGACAGACGGGGGACTCAGGGGAGTGTTGGGGGGTCCCACGGGGGTTGGAGGCTCCTGGAGAGGGGCGGAGCCAGCGGGGAACCCCTCAGTGTCACCTGGGGGCTGTGAGCCCTGGCCCAGGACCGAGCACTACCTGCCATAGCCGTAATTCCGCTTCTGCCTCTGGACCACCTGGGCACTGGCACGCCTGGAGATGAAAGCTGAGGGGACAGCGCAGTGAGTCAGGGGGGTTGTGCCCCCCCGTCCCTGGGACAGCGGGGGCAACATGGCCGTGGTCACTCACCTTCAGAGCTGGGGGAGTCGTCGGCGCTGGTGGAGCGATCGGCAGCTAGAGGTGAAAGGAGCAGTGGGTGGGCTCGGGAAGGTCCCGTGCAGGCTCCTGCCCTCACTTCACTCCTTTGGAGGCTCAGACCCGTCACTGAGACTCCCCAGCCCGTCAAAGGGCACCCCATCTCTCTGCTCCAGCCCCGTACCCCCGCTGCTCCAGGGCTCAGCAAATCTCTCCCCAGTCCCTTTGCTCCCTCCAGAGCCTTTCC